AAAAGTGGGCCGACACCAAACGAAGAGGGGTGTAATACATAGTGAGGACTAGGTGATGGTTAAACTACTACCCCAGCAGTTCAAGTCCTTCAGGAGCGTGCATAAGGGGATAATAAGGAAGTACGAGGGCCCGTTCCCCATTGTCAAGCGGGTGGGCAAGGTCTCCTATATGGTGGAGTTTCCACCGAAGCTAAAGATACATCCAGTGTGATACCCCTCGGATCCGAAACACGAGTTGATCAGGCCCAGGCCCAAACCCGAGGGAATATCAAACAATTAATATTTTATAATGAACACGGAATACAAAATAAATTAAGAAATGAAATTAAAGCTGGAAGGAACTAAAAATAGAATCCGCAAAATATTATAATTATTAAAATCCACCAAACCCAAACTCCAAAACTCCATCAGTTTACAACTTGGGAATCCATCTCTAGTGGACCCCTATTAAACATCCAAACGGAAGATAGAACAACTGTAATAAACGTCCAGAAATAAAACTATAGAGAGATCCCTACATCGTCGGAAGAGTGAATAGAGACCTCTGCTCAGCACGAACACGTCTAAGCCTGGAACTGTCGTGTACCTGAAAAAATAGAAGTGGGTCAGGCCCACGCGCAAGTTCTATACTACTACAATCCAAACAGAGGCCCGATACGCATGTACATCCTAAACAATTCAACAATAGCTGATAGTCCGTAAATATATATATATTCACACTAAAGGACTCTCACTGGACTACAGGCCGGTCTCAACCTGAATAAAGGTAACATGCTAAAACGCACACGAAGTGGGCATATGTACCTATACCTAAACAGGGTACACCTCCAACCATCGTAGCCAACTACACATCCCGATGCATATATGCTCCCTAGCCATCGGTCCTGAGGCTCAAGCTCATACCGAGGCACCATAACAGTACATATATAAAATCCATCCAAAATCCCTGATATTGCCGCTCAACAAGTAGTTGTTATGACAATACAAATCCACGGGACTTAACTTTTAGTTAATCCCATCCTTACTCCAAGTAGGTGGGTAATGGTATTGTTTTAAAAACCAAACCCATCCTTAGTATGCCACCGTCCCATACCGGTGCCTACTTTCCAATCCTCCAGTAGTCAATAACACCAATAAATCAAGTATATATCAACTAAATTCCAACATCCAACATTCAATGTTAGCAGTGATAAAATAAGCATTGATAAATAGGGTCACAACAACAACATATACATGCCCGATTTAAGTTGTTCCCTTTAGTTTGATATAAAGACAGAATTAATTAAAACTTCCATTTAACACCTTACAAATGATATACAGATATGTAGGGTATGTATCACAAAATCCTAACCTCCATAGTTGATACTAACTGTGATAATGTAAGCATCAAAACAATATTCACAGTAAGTATGTAGACATGCTCAAATTATAGTGTTCCACAAAACTGATCTAGTGTTAAACTCAAATCCTCCTAGTATTTAAGTGCCAACAGTTGCTATTACAGAAGTTAAGATAGCTATCATCTAGACCCATCCTTCCAATAATTTATACTAGCAGTGGTAAGGAAAAACGTGAACCACAGAACCACAATACATCCACAAACATGCTTAGTCTAGGTTGAACAAGCATACAACACTACTGTAACTACTAGTTTCATAGCAAAATAGATATCATTTTAGTTTGGTTTAATCTTCATTAATCCTGGAATCATTTAAGAGTGCAAAGAGTATGAAGCCTAAGGGAAAGAGTAAGGATAGAATCTTGCGTCAGAAACTTTTGTGAAAAGTTTCAACGTTGTCTTCTTAAAAAATCTCGGCGAGTTCCAAAACCCGGTTACTGTTCAAGGGTATAAAACACTATTCCCGAACTTAAAATCTGATCTCCACCGTTCAGATTGTGCGACACTGAGTCATGAACCTATCCTCCAAATTTCAGCTCGATTGGACCACGGACGAAGCAGGATCGGATATTTGATGAAATCTGGGCAGAATGGAAAAAAACCTGTGCGACCTGGTTACTGTTCACGAGTACGAATCACTGTTCCCAAGGTAAAACTCTGATCTCCACCGTTCAGATTGTGCGTCACTGAGTCATGAACCTATCCTCCAAATTTCAGCTCGATCGGACCACGGACGAAGCAGGATCGGATGTTTGATGAAATCTGGGCAGAATGGAAAAACCTGTGCGACCCAGTTACTGTTCACGAATACGAATCACTGTTGCTGAGGTCAAACTCTGATCTCCACCGTTCAGATTGTGCGTCACTGAGTCGTGAACCTCTCCTCCAAAATTCAGCTCGATCGGACCACGGACGAAGCGGGATCGGAGCTTTGATCAAACCTTGGCAGAATGTGAAAAATTGCGTTTTTCCTTCTCCACTTCCACAAAACGTGTGTTTTGTTTAAAAAAAACCCTACACAGACGTCTACCTTATACTTATAGAGTTTTCCTAAACCCTAGATTCATTTAAGTCCAACTCACAATCCTAACCGGCCCATACAATTAACGTAGAAACCTACGACGGCTATAATATAAAACCCTAATTTATACTGTAATTAAAACCCTAGTTAGATATATTTACCTAATTACCCTATTCACCATTAAATACTTAACAAATAATCTAATTAAACAAAATAATAATTAGTAAACCCAATTAAACCAATTACACTTAAACCATTAATGTCAATTAAATAATTAAAATACTAACAAGTAATTCCAATCAAATAACTAAAAATAAATATCATTTAAATAAATTAAATCACCACAAAAGAAATAAATTAAATCATCACAAAAGAAAATAATTAAGCACCTAATAAAAAAAATAATGCCACATAATCAAATAAAATGCACTTAAATAATAAATTAAATACCATTAAATACCCATAATCAAATAAAATGCACTTAAATAATAAATTAAATACCATTAAATACCAGGAATATCCTTTTTAAAATTAGGGGTATTACATCCAGCCTTCCATGTCAGCATGCTCAAGCCTTATCATGAAGACACAGAAGACCTTACTCGGGGCATATCGCATAGGGCACCCACGGCCGTTGTCACATCTTTTGACAAGGAAGTTGACTGCATCCTTGCGGATCGTGTGATGAGCAGGAGAGGTGTGCCCAAGTATACAGAGTACTTAGTAAAATGGAAGGACCTGCCAGATAGCGAGGCGAGCTGGGAGCACAAGGATACACTTTGGCAGTTCGCGAAGCATATCCAGCGGTTCAAGCAAGAAGATGCGACGAGGGCGTCGTGAGCTTAAGTGGGGGAGAATGTCATGCCCCGCAATCAAGAGGCTACGCCATGCAGGCCCCACGCAGATGCCCAGCAGACGATGACATGGAGCCTGCATGGACCGGAGCTTTCTAGACTTTTCTACACAAGTATGGAACTTTCCGGAATTCTCTAGATTAGTGTGGAGTTGTCTAGCCTTTTCTAGACTTGTATAGAGTTGTATAGAATTCTCTAGACTTGTCTTGAACATTGTACATAGCTCTAGAATAGTATAGATATTTCTTTGGAGGGTTCTAGACACTTAATCTAGGCCACACATTTGTATACATCTAGAATGTTCTTGTAAGGCCAAAGGCCTATAAATAGGAGGTGGGAGTTCATTTGCTCCTCACCAAGCAACCAAGTTATAATCTCTCTTCTCAAGCAATACAAGTTTTATACATTCCCAAACTCTCTTGTTCACTTGCCTAACCTCTTCCTACACACCCAAGTAAGCAAAACACTTGTCTAGCCTTAGTCTTCACTAAGCTAGCACACTCGGGTAGGCTGACTTAGTGCTGCAAGGGGGCTTGAAAGTGTCGAAGGCCGCACGGGAGCTTGAAAAGGTTCAAGTCCGTGACAGCGCACTGCCAATAACGCTTCTCTGCAGCTGGAGGAACATTGGCAATCGCTTACTCATAAACTCCGCGAAAGCCACAAACAACTGCTCTGGCGCCTCCTCCTCATCCTCGTAATCGGCCAACTTATCCACCGCCCTCTCGTAACAATTCCTCGCCCTCTCAATCTCCCCATTCTTCATCTCAAACTTGGCAAACCTAATCCAAGCACTAACTCTTGGATGGCATTGCACAAATCTCTCGAAAATACCTCTTGCCCTCTCGATTTCATTGTAGCGGAGCTCGAATTTGATGTATGAGAGCCAACCTTACTGATCAGGCTCCCAACTCATCCACTTTTCTAAGACTCGCCGAGCTCCGGCGACGTTCCCGAGCGTCTCCTCCTTGTGAATGTACTTGTACCATAGCTGATCAACCCTAGGCAACAATGATACAGGCCTGTCCCAAAAGTTTCGGGCGTGATTGATGAACTTATTCCTTGTCTCGACCTCGGCGTACTTCAACCAGAGCGTATAGTTGCGGTAATTGACTTTTAACGAGCTCTTCCACATTCAGTTTTTTTAAAATAATTATTTAATACATGATAAGTCAAATTTAGTATTAATTCGAAAATTCTTTTTAGTTCCCAATTACTCTTTTATACAAGGACCTGATTTGATTTTTCTTTACAATAATTCCTTTTTTCATATAAAAAAATGTTATCTGATGTACTCCTTGTTTGTATTTGGTTCCCTCTGTTTTCTTTCATATATATATATATATTTATTTATTTATAGGGTTGAGGGGAAGTCAGGAATCTTTGCAGCTGCTTTCATGCTACCAGACTAATACCCTTTGATATGCATATTATTACTGCAGTACCATTGCTTTTTTATTTTTTATTTTTTTATTTTTTTTTACCGTCAAAAAGAGCGCCCTATCGCTTTATATTCGCTTACCGTGTGATTTTCAAGTCACACATCCATTCATCCTATCGCTTTATATTCGCTTACCGTGTGATTTTCAAGTCACTTATCCATTCGTCCCACCAATTTTGTTAAAGAGCTGGTGATGAGAAATGTTATGACTATAGCAACTGTTATCATATCATATGCACACAGAGAATGAACAAGAGGAGAGATCAAAAGTAATATCATCCATGCAGAGATACGAACACATAATCCTCCCAGAGTTCCCATAAAAAAAATCAAAAAGTTGAAGCGCAAACTTGGCCAGATGATGGATCATTTGAATTAGTAAAGAGAATAATCAGGGTTTGAAGAAACCATCTAGTACATTGCCCAACTACAACATCCCACCACTATGTCCTAGGCTCCTCGCTCTTCAGATCTACTCTCTCTCAATCTGAATCGTTACATGACTGATATTATATTCCCTCCTAATATAGTCTATCACCTTGTTCAGCACCATATCAGCATCAGCTTCAGGCTTGACTTTGACATGGCAAGCTAGTAGCACTTTCCCTACAGTAATTGCCCATATGTGCAGTTCATGTATTGCAACCACTTCATCCATCTCACAGAGACCTTTCTCAAGCCTTGTTGCATCAATCTCTCTGGGTGTGCTCTCCATCAGAACCTCCAGAATGCTCCGCAGCATCTTGATGGTTGTAAATAGCACAACCACGGAAAATATGAGAGTGCATATCAAATCAATAATCTTCCACTCAGGTTTATACCATATAATTGCACCACCAATCATCACCCCAATACTCTGGATGGAATCCCCAAGCACATGAAGATAAGCTCCCTGCACATTTATATTCCGTTGTTTCTTTCGTTTAACTCCATTTTTTGGATTATCCCCCCCTTCAGAGCAAGTAGTCTTGAGCAGAGACTCAGTGAGATCTTGATGGGCATGATGGTGCTCGTTGTGTTTAGCGTGCCCCTCGTGATGGTGATGATGAGTGATGACGCTTACTCCATGGCTGTGTGTATCATCAATATTCTCAAGGCCATTATCATGCCCATCATCATTGTCATCCTGACCATGATGTCCATGACCGTGACCGTGATGTCGGTGATCGTGACCGTGACCGTGATGTCCGTGATCGTGACCATGACCGTGATGTCCGTGATCGTGACCCAACAAGAAAGCCATGACAATATTAACGACTAAACCAAAAGCAGAAACAACAAACATAAGTTTGCCCTGAACTTCACCAGTATTGTGGATGATTCTAGCAATGGCTTCGTAAACAAGGATCCCAGCAAGAAGCCATATCATCTGAATGGAAACCAAAGCCCCAAGTATCTCAATCCTGAAGAAACCATAAGATTGGCGGGGAGTTGCTTCCCATCCTGCTGCCCACAGCGAGAACAAGGAGATTGCAAAAGCTGCAACATCTGATAACAAATGAGCTGCATCAGTCAAAATTGCAAGACTGTTGGCTTCAATACCTCCAACGACTTCTATACTCATAAAAATGATGCAAAGTACAACTGCCATCAAAAGTTTCTTCATGGATGCTGAACGTTCTTTTGCATCCCTAGAACTGGTTTTAGCATCCGAGAATCCACATGTCGCTTCAGCACAAATTTTATTCCTATCAATCCTCTTCTCAATACCTGACACATCTCTACATACCTCAATAGTATGATTATGTTCAGGATTTTGCACCTCCATCTGAAAATTTACACCATCAATCAACAATCACAGACATGAACTATAATTTGCTACTGTTATTGCAGACAATTTCTATCATATGTAACCATGGGTACAAGATTGCAAATTCCTGCATTGTTGAAATAAATCAAAGAAAATATGCACAATACTGTCTCCAAATATATATATATATATATATATGAAAAAGGAAAAATACTATGCACAGTGGAGGGGGGGACCGACTGTACAATATGGCAATCCAGGTAATAGATTTATAGGCTGTAAAAGAGCACAAGAATAGGCACATTTAATCCAGAAATATAACTTCTCTTAACACAAGAAAAAGCAATCAAGAGGGCACATGAATAAGCATTTATGCAAAGAAGTTCACCTTCCAATCTTTATAACAATAACCTTTTCCTGGAAAAAGAATATCAACAGCTCCTAGAAAATATACACTCTCATAATGGTTGATAAAAGCTTTGAATAGTCTCAGAACAAAGTTGAACAACAAAACAGTAACGAAACAGAACAGATCAAATCAACAACTCAGAATAAAGAGGAATTCCAAGAACAGAATACTGAAAAGGAAAAACAAAGCCAGTGCATGACAACACACAGTGGACAGGTGACAGAGAAATGGATGTCTATACAAGGGAGCAGTACCTGAATCATTTGAACACTAATGTTTCTACAAGGGAGCAATACCTGAATCATTCGAATACTAATACTCCTTGGTTAGATACTTCATTTAAAGTATGGAAAATTTTAAGAGCAAATCTTTAATATCAAACAAGTATCTAATACTTCACACAAAACACAGCATTTTTAGTAGAGAATGATAGTATAATTATTAGGAAAATCATTATAATTTATTTGAAATACTTGGATTATTTTTAGAAGATGAGGATGCAAGTGGTGTGATTTTGGTTGCAAATCCGTGACCGTGCAAAACAACCCTCACTTCTCTCACGTGAATTTTAATTATGAATTAACAACTTAGACTAGTTAATTGATAGATTCATGAAAAATTATTGGTTTTCATACATGGGTATATGTCATGACAAACAATCGCTTCAAATTCTTAAATATCCATACATAGCCATGTTCTTGTCATATCCAAAACCACACACACACACACGTCTTGTATCCATATGCATACTTCATAAGCTAATGGCCTTGAGATGGCTATAAAGTATAAACACAAACTGTACCTGCTGCTCCCAGTTCATGGTTCTGTTGCAATTGCAGAATTACTAATAATAAAATGCTAAAATTTAATGTGTTACCTCCCTAAATGACCATCAGCCCTTTCAGACACTAACTTCCACATCTAGAATTAAAATTTAAACATTTTCTTCATCACCTTAAGATCCTTTTCTTCACATGATCTTTTGGCACGTGCAATTCATACTGTAGCAATATTTACCATGGTGATTGTTCGTACCAATACTCTGTAGACCAATAAACGTTGTGAAATCATAAACAAATAAAATAAAATAAAAACCCATAATATAATCTACTTCGATGAAGTCAGCATCTATATGTAATTATCCTGATCAAAGTTTCAAATGTGATATTGGGCTGCTTTTTCGGTTCTTATATCATGCTCTGACAACTCCATTCATCCACATATCCAACATCTCAATCCTCTATTACACACTTATGTTAAATAACAGAACATCATGTACAGACATATTGCATAATATTCTAAGGAGGTATATTTGCTATAATACCATAGGTAATGCATAATTGCTAGGAAAATATCATAAATAAAGATAATAAATTGGTTCTTGATAACAAACAGATAATAGCAAATGTATGACATGGTTGCAATAATTTATCAATTCATAGAACTTTCACACTACCTTCTTATATACCCTTTTTTTCTTTCTTTCTTCTTTCTGTAAAAAAGTACACGTACCGGCTAGATTAAAGTCTCTAGGTAGTTGAATCATAGACCTAGAATTGAATCTCACCTTCGTATGGTTTAAAGTAAATTAAAACATCTTACTTATTTAAATAAAAATAGAAAATATCTCTTATTCCAAATCACATATTTCCTATTATTTCCATTTCAAGGAAAAAATGAAAGTAGGGTTTATTCATGCATAAAAAATTAGAAAAGTTAGATGAACAATTCATAAATTTCAAGCCAAATCAAATACCACGTGCAAGTAACAAGATTCTACTTTCTAAATTAAAATTTTCTAAGGCAGAATATTCAAGAGCCTAACACTACTTCACTACTTCAGGTATGACTTGACAAACATAATGTTAATCTAAAGCAAGAACAAGCTCCGCAATAACATTAATTCCTTCAAAGACCATCAGAACAATTGCAAAACTTATTTTCTTAAATATTACACTCCAGAGAGTGAGAGTGCCCCTCCTCTTTCCGTCCCCTCTCTCCCCATAGCAATTAATACTCTGTAATTCAATAAGTTGTTAGGAAATAGGAATATGATGGCACGAAAGACCAAGCAAAGAAATAAGAATGCACCAAGATCCCAACATTAACTCTAAGTCAAATGCATGAAGACTCCATCCCATTTGTTTGGAGACATCTACAAGAACCTGTTCTACCATCCCATTTGTTTGAAGACATCTACAAGAACCTGTTCTGACCTTAAAACACAATTATCACCATCATTATGCAAATTTAAATTCCCCTACATATTTTTATAGAGGAAAAAGGCAAAATCTCAAACCAAACAAGTTTTCAAGAGTTGATAATGGGTAGGATTGCCTTGCGAGTTACAGGAAGAACACATCAACCTCACATTTAATGATCATTTATATGAGCCATCGGCATGGCATGACAAAAGAATCAAACAGCAGCAAATTCATCCTCAAAACCCTAACAAATGAATAAAGCAATGCGCATGCATATATTCAACATCAAAAAGGGGATCAAAACAGAAAAATACCCAAATCAGCAGCCAGAATCACTGAGACACGAACTCAAAACATTTATGAAAATAAACCTAATAACATATGCAAAATATAGTATATATATGCTCAGTATCAAACAAGAAAGATGATGAAATGTGGAAAACCCCAAGTCTGAAAAGGAAACCGATAAATAATATAAAAGAAAAGAAAATTTGAGGGTAAGAACCAAAAAAATAAAATTACGAGTCCCATCAAAGCATAAAGTGTAATAACGCCAAAAAGAATTCACAACAGAAAGGGCCCAAAAAGAAATTGCTAAAAAAATAGACGCCACTACAATCCCATTTCAAGAAAAATCAGAAGAACAAAAGAAAACAAACATAGAAGTTTATGATCCTCAGGACTAAGGCAAGCATATTAGAATCAAATATATATATATATATATATATATATATATATATATATAGTTTTGGGTAGATTGAATTGAATGGAAGGTACCTTTAAATTTGTGTGATTATCTCGGTTGTTCGAAGAGAGTCTATCGCAGTCTCAAGTAGCTATCTCGGTAACGGAGTGGTAAATTGCCTTTAAATTGTGAAAATAAACGTATGAAGATTCTCTCTCTCTAGGGTTTTATTGGATACAAAATTTTCTACTTCCATTATATTTGTAATTTGTTTGGTAGTCAATGATGGTCATTTTTCAATTGCCAATTGGATATTCCTTTTTCAGCCTTCCCACTTAGGACCACCACCAACTCAGCCTTGGTGCGGCGTGTTTCAATTATTTTATTATATTATCGTCCTTTTTTTGTTATATGGTGGATAAATGCTTCTCACGTCAGCTCGGTCTGTTGTCAGCTTCAATAGCATAATAATTGTTAAAAGTGTATTTCAATAGCATGATAATTGTGGCTCAAATTGTATTTTAAAGTGACTTGGTACAATGTTATTTTGACAGGGAATTCTAGTCGTTCTGTTGTCAGCTTCAATAGCATAATAATTGTTATGAACTGTGTCTCAAATTATATTTTAAAGTATATTTTATATGATTTTTATTTAAATTTATTATCATGTAAGTTTTGGTTTTTTAGAAATTATAATCCTCCTCTAAATATTGGATTTAAAACTCTATAAATAACGTAATTTAATGGGAGTTGAAATTAAGATCACCACCACCAACTCAGCCTTAGGGGGCCATCTTTCAATTATTTTATTATATTCTCAAAGTTTTTTTATTATATGGTGGATAATGCTTGTCACGTCAGCTAGGGCACGTCAGCCCCAATTATAGTCATTCTGTTGTCAGCTTTCAATGGCATAATAATTGTTGAAGTGTATTTCAATAGCATAATAACTATGTCTCAAATTGACGTAGTACAATGTTATTTTGTCATTCTGGGAATTCTAGTCGTTCTGTTGTCAGCTTCAATAGCATAATAATTGTTATGAATTGCATCTCAAATTGTATTTTAAAGTGTATTATATATATATATATATATATATATATATTTTAATGTGAGTTTTGGTTTCTTAAAAATTATAATCCTTCTTCAAATAGAAATTGAATTTAGGGCTCTATAAATAAATAACTAAATTTTTGTTATGAGTTATGAGTTATGAAAGATGTTGTCTAATAAGGGTTGGAATTGATAGATAGGGACGTAGTGGTTTTTTTTTGTTTTTTTTCTTTTTTTAGGAAAATAATTTATAAAACCATTTCGAGAGGTATATTAGTTAGTTGATTGACTAAAATAAAGCTTAACCTTGACTTTTTCTGTTTTTTCTTTTTGTTTACATTAACACACCCATTTATCTGTATAGGCCCACTTAAACCCTTCACATTTCTATTTTGAAAGACAAGGACATCAAGTTTATCGTCTTAATTGTTTACTTCACAACTTGTGAGTTGTATCACCCTTTTGTTTTTTTTTTTTCACAACAAAGTTAAGAAAAAGAAGGATGGAGGCCAGAAGCCTTTATATCCAGGGCTTTGACCAACCAGATGGGCTCAATGGACATCACCAGAAGAGGAATGGAGAGCCCATTGGCAAACAGAGCTCTAGTGGTCAAACAAAATAATGAATGTCATCCAGCAACACAGCAGAGAGTGTGGATGGAGTCAAATTGATCACGTTGAACCAGTCCCCTTCGCTATCGACACAATCGTAACCCCATTGGATGAGCAAGGACAGACCTTCTCGGAGAGTGTAAAGCTTCTTCAACTTCCGGGTTAGGAGAAGAGTGCATACAGTAAGAAGCAACACGGACGGCTATGCCCTTAAAGTCGATAAAGACTTCTTTGGACGTTTAATACTAAAGTCGAGAAAGACTTTTTTAGACGTTTAATACTTTGTTTTCTTTGTCATCAATCAATTGTATCACGTCACATAAGTAAAAGTATTTTATATTAATGGATTCGATAACTACAATACTACATATCATTATTTAATAAATAAATTAAGTTCGTTCTTCTCTTAGAAGTCCAAGATATCAAGTTCCTCTTTGAAGCCCATCCCATCTTTAAGGTAGTTTGGGTTTACAGATTCCTTAATGGACCAGCCTATCCTCTGAGAAAATGGGCCCGATCTTCTTCCTCTTCGGATATTGTTTTGGATGCATGTCCTTCCCGACTTCTTCAAGTTAAAAATAAAAAAGAAAAAGTAAATATAACTCAGTCAATTTTTTATTCGGATTATTCACTGTGACTTAATAATTTTCAAGAGACGATGCCTCAAATATACAAAATCACCTTGTAAAATAAACGAGGTAGATAATTTTTTTTAATGAGATTTGACTGATTAGTGTGGTATGATTCGTAATTAATAATTCTATAAATTTTACTTTCTTTATTTTTTAAAAAATATTTCTTTTAGGAAATCATGATTCACAATTTGTGAGTCATAATTAGGGATGGTAATGGGACGGGTTTCTCATTCCTCCATCTCCATCCCCGTTTAAATTTGTCATTTCTAAAACTGCCTCATAATCGATTTTTTTTTTACTCCTAATCCCCATAATCGCCTCCGCCCCATTATCGCTTGCCCCACCCCGCTTCAAAAGATTGAAATGAGTAGGGTTTATTTAAAAGTGTATATATAATATAATATGATATATATATATATATATATATATATATATAACATGTTAAATCGGTAAATACAATAACATGGCAAGGGTTAATAAGAGTAATTTCATATATAATCGAGGCGGAATACCTCTCCTCGCCCCAGCCCCCGTTCCAAATATGGACGATTTTTGTTCCCAATCTTAATTTCTATTCCATTTAAATAAATGATTTTTCAAACTCGCTTTAAACGGGGTGAGTGCGGGACGGTTCTCACTGGGTTGGGATAAATTGTCATTTTAGATTCACAATTCTCCCAAAAAAAAAAAAAAAAAAAAAACATTTATTTTGAGAATGGAAGTGTAATTTCTTTGTCGGCTAAACAACATTTACTTTGAGAATGGGAGTGTAATTTCTTTGTCGGCTAGGTGATGGGACCATATACCATACCAATCAAGTACATCTAAATTGTGGTTGATAGATATACGTTGGCTTTGTGGCCGCTGAGTCAGTGGTTCCCTTGTCCATGATTGACGCCATCTCCTCCCATGCTACTTTTTTTATTAAAAATTTGTAATGTCCCCACATCATCTCTCTTGAAAATTATTACACTCAATATAGATGAGACCAAAAATAAAGAGGTGAGGGAGCCAACTGATAGCTTAAGCAATCACATTTATATATGTGTGTGTGTATGTGTATGTGTATGTGTATATTTATATGCATATATATGATCTTCAAGCATTTGATGGGCTGGGATGGATAAAGACTCTGTATAATTTGCAGAAAGAGGGAGTGAGGATTGGCATATTGAGAAATTGATGTTGATTTTGGCTGGGGTAAAACGGTCTGTTTACTTCAATTAATAGCGCTTCTTTTTCTTTTTCTTTTTCTTTTTCTTTTTCTTTTTTTTCTTTTTCTTTTTTTAACTTTAGTCCCTTACTCAAAGTGAAAGTTTGAGAACCCAAATTTTTTATGATTTAACGGCAACTTACAGATTTTTTTATAAATGTTGCTGAAAGGTTACTAAGTCCATTTTTAATGTAAAATGTCATTTTTGTATGTCAAATTTATATTTTGAGAAGAATTACAATGTCAAAATGTTATATTTTAACAATTCTGTTCCAATGGTACATTTCATTCAAAATGTTATTTTTTGACACAACAACCATTATTTTTCAACTATCATTCCCAACTATAATTTTCAATAACCATTTTTTTTTGTTTTTTTTTTTGTGAATGTTTGTATTTTATTTAACTTATTTGCCTTATTAAAAATAAATAAATAAAAATATTGACATATATATATGTATAAGCAAAACAAATATATATATACACACATAACAGACATATACATATGTATACAAACAACACTGACATATATATATATACACAAGCACAACACCAAATTAGCATTCCAACACCAAATTGACAGCCCAGGCGAGACAGAAGAGAGAAGGAAGAGAATAATAGCAGATTTAACAATGGTTATATGTTGTGTTATATTTAGCACAACATTTAACAAAATTATATTTTGACAGCCCATTTGGCATGCTATTAGAGAGTCCATTTTAAACCCGCATGCTATTTTTTTAAAATAGTAATCCATTAATGTTGCTCTAAGCTTCTAGAAGGTTGCGTGAGTTGAGTCTCACTCCATGCAAGTGTGTGAGTTGGATGTGCGAATAATTTGCCCTATCAAATAATAATAATATAAAATTGTCATTGAAAATATAATTTAGTGTCATTATGACAAAATGGGAACTTAATTACAAGATTTTAACACTATTTTTTTATTATTATTTAAAATGGACATTTAATGATATTTTTGAAAAGAAAACAATGTAATCAGCAATAAAAAATTTGGGCGAAGAACTCCTTTTCTAACCCTGCACAATATTACCAGTCATTATTGAACACTATTTATTAAAATTACACAAAATACTCGACAGTATATGTAGCATTACTCTTTACTAGAAAACATAAATTGTGCAACTTTTAATTTTTATGATACCATAAAAGCCATAATATTGCAAAAATGAAAATTAGTTCAACAATTTGGTGCAGATCGTTATAGTCTTCGAGTCGCAGCCAAACCACTTCACCAACGGATCAATCATTTTCACAATATAGCTTGTCCTTATGCCAATTACTATAACCTAATAAAACACTTCTCAATATTTTCTCACATTTATCACCTAATAAACAACGTCCGACCATCTTCAAGCGAACTTTACCAACAAACCACATCATTTTTAAATGTTGACTTGGTGAGATCCTAAATTCAAAACTTTTGAACTACTTTTTTTATATATGAAATATGAGGTATACAATAGTGTGAAATTAAATATACACAATAAATAAAAAGAAAAACAATATATCATGATAAAATGGATTTTTTTTTTTTTTTCATCATAATTCGACAGCTCTTATCACATAAACAAAACAATCTTCGATTATGATCAATGCAAATGGACAAATGTATCACCAAGTGATGATTGCACATTTTATTGAAAATTATGTATAAAGATGTGAAAAACCAATTTAAATAAAATAAAATAAAATAGATGTATAGTATCTCCTAATTAATAGAAAGAATAATTCTATAAGTACAATATTATTATTATTATTATTATTATTTGATAAATATTCTATAAGTACGGCATGATTTATCAATATGTATGGTATGTTGTATCATTTGTTTAATTTTCATTCCTTCTGACAATTGGCAAGTGGCCTTTCCGTGGCATGTCTGATACAGTTATGACCGTCCCAAACAAATCAGTCCGATCCTCTTTTGGATAGTAATTAATAGTCTAATACGTGTGTGTGTATATATATGAAGTATATAATAAGTGTGTAGATATACAATACTCCTTCCCTCTATATTTTGTCACAGTTTACGAAACGAGACAAAAAAAGTATTATATTTAATATGAAGCAGATAATAAAAAAAAACTAAAAGAGTATTGTATTTTATATAACTTAGCAGCTGGCACCACCACATCCAACAAAAATATGAAAGTGAAATTTCCCCGAGGGAAAAAGAGAAGAAAATTGATAGTAGATGCATTTGGCCAGAAAAGGCTATTGAGACAACCGCCCTTCACAAGCTCTCTCTCTCTCTCTCTTGTTGTCTCGAGTTAAATCCAAGCCGGTTCTCCCAATATCGGTGGTGTTCATCAGCTGGATTTGTTTTATCATTTTCTTTAATGTGATGCGATTACGTTTTTGTTTGAATGCATTCATAAATAAATAAAACATTTTCTTTCTAGATGATGCTTCTAGAAGAAAGGGGATTATAACAATCTTTCTAAATACCCTGTTTTCTCTTTCTATTCCAAAGAATTTTGAAAAAAGAAAGGATTTTGTTTCAACGAACTAAAAACAATCTCGATGCCTCTAATAAACCAAAACCATCATTTAATTTAAATTTTGCTTCAATTATTGGATTAAGAGCCTATCACATGAATACTCGGTGAGTATGAACTCTTGCAGAAATACCCTTGTGATACCTATTTCTTTGATAACCTGTCCCTTAAAATATCAAGAGGTTCCTATAACAAGAATTATGTTTCTTTTATTTTTATTTTATTTTTTACTGGAATCATAGATCTCGAAACAATTTATAATCCAATGGTTAATTACAAGAATTCATAAACGAGATACATCTCTTGATTGTCTTGCCTATCAAAAAACATTATAATAATAAATAAATAAATTGTAATCCATGTTCCCTCTAATATGTGGGTTTTGTTTCCGTGTGCAGACTTCTTAAAGAGAATTCAGGTCCATGGGATAATAATCAGTAACTTTGTTTTTTAATTAAATTAGTTATATATTACAACTATTTTAATAATTTCTAGACCTTATTGTCCCCATCAATAAACTAATATTAATGATGGACCAAAAACTCTTAATTTATTATTAATAAAAGGCAGCGACATATGGCAGCCGATAAAGACATGAATTAAAAAACAAATTGCCTTGCTTTATATGTATGTATGCCCTTTATCTTTTTCCCATTTCCTTCCCTGACATGATTCCTCAGACAGATGCCCCCAAATACTTTTCTTCCTCCATTTCCATCCACTCATTCAAATTCAGCACCCCTTTTCGCCTCTCTCCCTTCTCCTCTCTCTCTCTCTCTCTCTCTCTCTCTCTCACACACACACACACACACATCTTAAAAGTTGATGAGTTTCTTCAGTGTTGCCATTAAAATGCCAAAGGCCATAAGCATCACATTCTTGGTAAACATGCTAAGCCAGATAAAATTGATGGTTATGATGGCACTCACTCATCTGGGTCTGTACAACCCACCGGAACATGAAGATTATACATGGGAAAATCCAACCAATTATGTTCTCATATTAGATGGCTCATCTCCATCTCTAGTCCCAATCCCAGTCCACATCGTAACAGCATCCATAAAGAAGAGACTTCAGGTGGTGCCATACGCCCATTTCATGGAGAAAATATTAGGTCTACACAAAGAAGAAGGTGAGGAGGAGAATAAGGTGTGTGCAGTGTGCTTGGATTGCATTGAGAGCAGCCATGAGATTAGGGTTTTGTGCAATTGCTGTCATCTGTTTCACAGAGAGTGCTTGGACCATTGGGTGGATGAGGGTCAGGTGACATGCCCTCTCTGTAGATCTATGTTGCTTCCACCCGAGGGAAATCTAAACCTCCTCAGATGTGGTGGCGGTGATGGTGGCGGCAACGGCGGTGATCCGTGGATGGTGGAAAGGAATGTTAGCTGAAGACCAGGTCAGGTGAACAACTTGACTTGTATGTTGTTCCTATCCATTATCCAACACTGTTTTGTGGTGACTGGGCACTAGATTAGCTCTCCACTGAGTGTAATTATTTCCGTTTCTCTGTTTTTTTTTTGTTTTTTTTTTATTTTTTGGGTGTGCATAGATCCCTTGGACTTGGAATATTTAAGAAGCAAATGTCCACCTTAGGGCATTGGAATGACTTCTAATTTAACACCATTTGCCATTTCCTCTTATTTCTATTACTTCAACTAATGTCTCTTCTCTCAATTCCTAAATGTTTTTTATGTTCTCTCTTATTATTATTTAGATGTATTATGTATAACACAAAAACCACTGTTTAGAAAGGGCATTTTAACAGGACATGAAAAAAAAGAAAAAGAAAAAAAGAAGAAGCATGTTTTGTGATAATTGGTTCTGCAAGGCCTTGAAAATGTTGTCAAAGTCTCCAGATTCAGATGGTCTAAAGACTCCTCCTACACGAGCCCATAATAACTACAGTATGTCCTGCTATATACTCAAGCAGCCCTATGAAACTGAGATGGACCTACAAAGTACACACTGTATTGATTAACAGTTTGGCAACATGCCTTCAAATGTGGTACAAACAATTGTTATTGCATTATCTGCCCACAGAATATCATGAATGCATAACTAAATGACATGTGAAATGAATCAATGCTAACATGATCAGAAGGTGAGGAGATGTAGTCATTAAACAAGAGCCTTTATGGTATGTCACATAAAACGGAACGGGACAGAGAGAATTCGAGAGCCAAAGCGCAACAAAATTTAAGACACACAAATTGAAAATGGGAGTAAGAGCGTGCAGTGGCGGATCCAAGGGTGGGCTTGAGCCCCCCTAAAAAAAATAAAATTTTTTTTTTAATATAGGTATATTTAGCCCGATTGTAGTAGTATTAGCCTCCCAATTTTAACTCATACAAACAAACCTAATATCTAAGCCACAATTTTAAAACAATTGGCCCAATCAAATAGGCACAAGCCAAACAAGCCTTAAACAATCACTAAGGTGAAGCACATAGAACTCGTAAATTCCTAATCTTGCACAAATCAGAGAGCTTACTCCTTCTCTCCCTCTAAAGTCTAACCCTATTTCCTCTAAGCCCCCCCCCCCCCAAAATTAACAATTCCTGAATTCGCCATTGAGAACGTGCACAGAGTGTAAGAGCAAGAGCGCGTAAGGAGCGTTAGAGCAACACCCATTGAGAAGATTGTACCACTTAGTACCAAACATCAAACTCATTCAAGTAGGAAGGACAAAAAATAATAATAATAATAAGAAGAAGAAAAAAAAGTAGAATCCTCAGAAAATGAGGGGATTGAATCAGGAAATATAGCATCATATCAAGATTTAACAGCACTTAACAACATAAGATAATCTGGATTCAAACACAAATCATCCAAATTGCAGAAAACCCCTGTACATTGGAAGCCATTTCTGCTTGGTCTAGAGCAAGATGTCTTCTCACTACCTTACCTACCTCATTTTTGGTATTACCCTCATGAAACCCAACAGCTTCAGACTGATCATTGTCACTTCTTGTTGATGATATGCAGTGATCACCTATTTCTGAACCAAACTAAAACATATGAAGCAACTAATTCATCTCAATCAGAGTCATAAATAATCTCCTCATTTATCTGATGGTCCAAACCTAACATGTGAAATTAACACATAATGGCAATCTGGCATTCTAAACCTAAGTCACATAAAGTGGTAGCGATAGCAGAAACGCGTAAACGGCAAAATTAAATCACAAATAGTGAGAACTTGAGCTAGAGCGCGTGCAGAGAGTGAAAGTGAGAGTACGCTCGGAGCGTGAGAGCGACACCCGTTGCGAATGATTGTGTGACTTAAGTCCAAACTAGCTGAAAAAGGAAGTCATTCTTGACGTTAATGTATAAATTCCATATTAACAAGCAGCTAAACTCCCCTTAAAAACCCACGGTAACACATAAACCAGTTGCGGGGCACAAGTATGAATCAGCATCATTATCATACAACTCATGTCATTTTAATGGTCTCAGCCGTGCAGGGCAACTGTTCTATTAATCTATACAATTTTTATTTTATTTTTACCTAGAACAGGCTATTAGCAATAGTAATCCTATATATATTGAGCCAGTAACAAGGTGAGTCTGCACCAAGTTATCAATTTCATGTTGTAGCTAAAATGATACAATTAATATGAAATTAGGCAGGATCTTTAGCCGCCCAAGCTATGTTAACAACTGATGATTTTAGGCACTTGGAGACATCGATTGTTTGTTTATCACATAAACAACTATGCCAATTTATTCAAATTAGCAGCCCTAATCATGATTCCTCAAATTTAACGTCACTGCCAGCTAAACAAGTTAAATTTTAATATATTATATATGCTGATGCTAATTTCATTGCAAAATATTGTGATGACTACCGTGCTGGGAAAAAATATTGATATGGTTCTTAGAAGAAAACGATACAATCATAAAGAACACAAATATTTAATTGCAAATATCAAAACTGTTCTTTCTAAGATAGCAACAGAATTCATAAAGCACATGGACATTCAATTCTAAATATTAAAAAACTTTTGGAGGAGAAAGCAACACGATTCCTATAGGATGTAAAGATACTTACTAAGTAGACAATTAAGTGATAATATATTAATGATTTCTGTCTTTTCTAGTTTTTCTCACTTAAAAAATATCCTAAACAATATTCTTAACTGCTACAAACATAGAGGGAAAAAAAACTTCTATAAACATGTCCACTTCTAATGCTCCTTCGTCCTACTCATTTTCTAATTTTTCTTCCTCTCTTTAGTTCTACATACTAACTCATGGGATTCTCTTGTGTTTGCGTTAGAATGCCAAAATCCATAGCCATCACAGCACTATTAAATTTGTTACATCATATAAAATTCATATCTATTGTGGCACTCTCTCATCTAGGTTTATTCAATCCATTTGAGCAAGATTATTCTACTTTACACCCCGCCAGATTTGTTCTTGCAATGGATCAGCCATCTCCCTCAATAATCCCAGTACCAATACATAGTAACACAGCAACAATCAAGAAACAGCTTCCGGTAGTAAGTTATCATGACTATGTCAAAAGCTGCAAGATCCAGGTAGATGAAGGTACAACTTGTGCTGTCTGTTTGGATGGATTTGAGTTAAGCCATGAGATTAGAGAGCTGTCAAACTGTGTTCATGTATTCCACAGAGAGTGCCTAGATAGTTGGGTGGATGAGAGTCAAGTGACTTGCCCTTTATGTAGGTCTCTTCTTTTACCAGTAAAGGGAGATATGAAAAGGTGTGAAGATTCATGGACAAGGGAGAGGAGCGTTTACTTGTATGGTGAGGATTCACAATGGAATTAAGTTAGACTTCAATATCTCATCAACGATAAAATGCAATTACCACAAAACGTATTCAGAAATGACCATCCATACCTCAGTTGTTGATCCAGTAATAGCGGAAGTGCTTACCTTGAGGATGGTAATTTTGGAAAGTGATGCTGAAGCAGTTGTTAAATATGTCAATAAGCAGATTGCTTCCCCTGTGCTGCTAGCTACTGTGGTGGATGACCTAGTTGGATGACTGGATTCCAAGAACGGCTTCCCAGTTTGTTTCACCCCTCATAAAGCTCATGGTGTAGCTCATCACTTAGATGGTTTGGCTCTAAAAATAGACCTGAGTGAGTCTTTATTTCTGAGATTCCTCTTTGTATTCAATCTCAAAGTAAACTAATAGTTTTCTTCAATCATTTTGCTGTGTAAACATCAATTTCCACCAAATAACTTCCAAGTTCCCAGAGTAAAGAATCACACAATCAACTTTATTACACTAACCTAGAGTGTTTAGCTTATGCTCTCCTGACATTATAATTTTATGGTCGGTACTGGCACTGTTTGACTCATCAATGGCAAAAGTAACAAATATGTTTTCATAAAAATGATGATAAATAAACTCATTTCGATTTAATCAGGTCCTCAAGTAAGATCTCACTCCACTTCAGGAAAATAAACAGTAGCTTGAGATGGCCACTAAATAAGTTCTATGAAATGAGATTCTTAGTATTGGTTCGCATAGGCAACCAAATAGATTAATCATCTCTTGCATTGTCATTGGGTTCACCAAAACATATTATAACACCAAAGAGTGAAGGGATAAACTCTTAGATGGCATTAGCTGGCTCATGAGTGATGAACCCAAAACCCATAAATTGAACATTAAAAAACTGTCAAAAAATTAGGCAAAATAATCAATATCACCCAAGTAATCATCTAACAATTACCAGTCAGTACATCTTCACATTCAATCCATATTTGAAAACCCAACACTTGCAAATTATCAAACTACTTAGCAGGAACCACATTCAAATTAGCAGCCCTAACCATGTTTCCTTGAAATTAACATCAATGCTAAACAAAATAAATTTTAATATATTTTATATGTTGATACTAGTTTCATTGCAAAATATTGTGATGATTACCTTACTGGAAAAAATATTGAGATGGTATTTTGAAGAATACGATACAACCATAAAGAACACAATTTTTTAATTGTAAATATCAAAATAGTTCTTTCTAAGATAGCAACAGAATTCATAAAAGACGGGGACATTTAATTCCTACATATTAAAAAACTTTTGGAGGAAATGGCAACAAAATTGGTCAAGGATATAAAGATGCTTACTGAGTATTTTTTCGAAGGTTAAGATACTTAGATACTAAGTAGACAATAAAATGATAATAATGATTTGTCTTTTCTAATTTTTCTTTCTATCTGAAATAAAACCCTAGACAGTATTTTAAACTGCTATAAACATGCCCACTTCTAATGCTCCTAAACCCAACTCAATTTCTTCCTCTCTTTAGTTCTACATACTCACTCATGGGATACGCTTGTGTTTGCATTAGAATACCAAAGTCCACAGCCATCACAGCACTATTAAATTTGTTACACCATATCCAATTCATGTCTATTGTGGCACTCTCTCATCTAGGTTTATTCAATCCACTGGCTACTTCACACCCCGCCAGATATGTTCTTGCAATGGATCGACCATGTCCCTCGTTAATCCCAGTACCAATACACTAACACAGCAACAATCAAGAAAAGGCTTCCATTAGTAAGTTAGCATGACTATCTCTGAAGGTGCAAGATACAGGTAGATGAAGGTACAACTTGTGCTGTCTGTTTGGATGGATTTGAGTTGAGCCATGAGATTAGAGAGCTGTCAAACAGTTCTCATGTATTCCACAAAGAGTGTCTAGATAGTAGGGTGGATGAGAGTCAAGTGACTTGCCCTTTATGTAGGTCTCTTCTTTTACCCGCAAAGGAAGATATGGAAAGGTGTGAAGATCCATGGGTGAGAAATAGGAGCGTTTACTTGTTTGGTGAGGATTTGCAATAGAATTAAATTAGACTTCAATATCTCATCAACAAGCATGAAAATGATAGAATGCAACTACCAGAAAACATATTCAGTAATGACCGTGCATGCAGCATGCCCCAATTGTTGATCCAGCTATGGCAGAAGTGCTTACCTTGAGGGCGGTAATTTTAGAGAGTGATGCTGAAGCAGTAGTTGAATCTGTCAATAAGCAGATTCCTTCCCCTGTGCTGCTAGCTACTGTGGTGGATGATATAGTTGGATACTTGGATGGCTTGATTCCAATAGCGGCTTCTCAATTTGTTTCACTCATAAAGCTAATGATGTAGCTCATCACTTAGCTGGTTTGGATCTAAGAAATAGACTTGAGTGAGTCGTTATTTCTGATATTCCTCTTTGTATTCAATCTGAAACTAAATTAATTGTTTTCTTCAATTATTTTGCTTGTGTAAACATCAATTTCCCCCAAATAACTTCCAAGTTCCCATAGTAAAGACATGCAATGCATGTCTACTGATCAAACAAGAAACTTTATTGGACTAACCTAGAGATGTTTAGCTTATGCTTTCTCGTCAATGGCAACAGTAACAAATGTGTTTTCATAAAAGAGCTGAGAAATAAAATCATTTCAATTCAATAAGGTCCTCCAGTAACTAGATCTCACTCGACTTCAGGAAATTAAACAGTGGCTTGAGATGGCCACTAAATAAGTTCTATGAAATGAGATTTCTTAGTATTGGCTCACATAGGCAACTAAACACATTAATCATCACTTGCATTGCCATTGGGTTCACCGAAACAAAATATAACACAAAAGAGTGAAAGGGTTAAATATTAGATGGCATTAACTGGCTGACGAGTGATGAACTCAAAACCTCATAAATTGAACATCAAAAAAACTGTCAAAAAATTAGGCAAAATAATCAATATCACCCAAGTAATCATTTAACAATTACCAGTAAGTACATCTTCAGATTCAATCCATATTTGAAAATCTGGTTTAGATGGTCCTGGACCATTGACAATTGGTGGAGTAGTTAAATACAGACTCTCGGATTGAGAAAATGGCCCCACAAGAGTGTATTAATATATTACAAAGTGTCATAATCGGAGGGTTTTCATTAAATTAGTCCACCAAATGTCAAATAAACCAGGACCATCTAATAATTTCTCACTAAGTAGACAATTAAGTGATAATATATTAATGATTTCTGTTTTTGTAATTTTTCTCAATTAAAAAATACCCTAAACAATATTCTAAACTGCTATAACATAGAGGGAAAAAACTGCTATAAACATGTCCACTTCTAATGCTCCTTGACCCGACTCATATTCTTCACCTCTTTAGTTCTACATACTAACTCATGGGATACTCTTGTGTTTGCATTAGAATGCCAAAATCCACAGCCATCAAACACTACTAAATTTGTTAAACCATATCCAATTCATGTCGATTGTGGCACTCTCTCATATAGGTTTTCAATCCATTGGAGCAAGACTATTCTACTTTACACCCCAACAGATATGTTATTGCAATGAATTGACCATCTCCCTCATTAATCCCAGTACTAATACATATTAACATAGCAACAATCAAGAAAAGGCATCCGGTAGTAAGTTATCATAAGTATCTCAAAAGGCTCAATATGCCAGTAGGAGAAGGTACAAATTGTGTTGTATGTTTGGCTGGATTTGAGTTGAGCAACGAGATTAGAGAGCTGTCAAACTGTTGTCATGTATTCCACAGAGAGTGTCTAGATAGTTGGGTGGATGAGAGTCAAGTGACTTGCCCTTTTATGTATATCGCTTCTTTTAGCAGCAAAGGGAGAGATGAAAGGTGTGAAGATTCATGGATGAGGGATAGGTGTTTACTTGTTTGGTGATAATATCCAATGGAATTAAGTTAGACTTCAATCTCTCAACAAAAAACATAAAAATGACAAAATGCAATTACCACAAAACAGATTCAGTAATGACCCTGCATACCTCAATTGTTGATCCAATGATAGAAAAACTGCTTACCCTTTTTTTTTTTCTTTTTTTTTTTTTCAATTATTGATAGCAAAAGTGATTACCTTGAGTTAGGTAATTTTGGAGAGTGATGCTGAAGCAGTCGTTTAAATCTGTCAAAGAAACAAATTCCTTCCACTGAGCTGCTAGCTACTGTGGTGGATGATATAACGGTGTTGCTCATCACTTAGCTGGTTTGGCTCTAAGAAATAGACCTGAGAGAGTAATTTCTGAGATTCCTCTTTGTATTCAATCTGAAAGTAAATTAATAATTTCATCAGTTATTTTCCTGTTCAATGTGCGTAAACATCAAATTTTCAAAGAATAACTTCCCAAATTCACATAGTGCAGATATAATGCATGTACATTAATCACAAGCAACTTTATTGGACTAGCCTAGAAACGTTTAGCTTATCCTCTCCTGACATCATATTTTATGATAGGAGCTGGCACAGATTGGCTCATAAATGGCAAATTTAACTAAAATGTTTTCATAGAAGAGCTGAAAAATAAACGGATTTCAATTTAATCAGGCCCTCAGGTAACTAGATCCCACTGAACTCCAGTAATTAAACAGTGTCTAGAGATCTCTTAGTACTCACAACCAAATACATTAATCATCTTTTGCAATTACTATTGGGTTCACCCAAACAAAATATAACAAAAAGATTTTAGGGATTAACACTTGCATGACATTAACTGGCCGACAAATGATGAACCAAAAACTCAAATTGAACATAATTAGGCACACTAATCAACATCACCAAAGTAATAATTTAACAATTACCAGTCAATTCATATTTGACAATCCATAGCTTACATATCATCCAACCACCAAGCAAGAACCATATTCAATGATTCAAAACCTAACCAAAAACAATCTAAAACAAAAATAAGAAACGGGCTAAAAACGAATCACAAAACAAAGCCCTAACCCAACAAAAAGGTAAACCTACTGAGTGCTTCCACAAATCAACCACCGAACCCATAGAGAGTACGACCCTGTCTCTTGAGGGCATAAACAACGTCCATGGCGGTCACAGTCTTCCTGCGAGCATGCTCAGTGTAGGTCACCGCATCGCGAATGACATTTTCGAGGAAGATCTTGAGAACCCCTCTGGTCTCCTCGTAGATGAGGCCACTGATTCGCTTCACACCACCTCTGCGAGCCAGTCGGCGAATGGCGGGCTTTGTAATGCCCTGAATGTTGTCTCTCAGAACCTTTCTGTGCCTCTTCGCCCCTCCCTTTCCCAGACCCTTCCCTCCTTTTCCTCTTCCTGACATTTTCTCTCTCTAAAATGAAAAAAAGAAACCCTAATTTATGAACTACTTTCCTTTCTCTTCAATTTGTGGATTTGATTCACTGATGACTGGAATTGGTTTTGGGGGTTCCGATTATATAGGCGTGAGCTTGAAATTTTGCTTTGGCGCTCCCTTCAGTGAGAATAACATTGGCCGTTGGATGAAATGTTATCGACGGTTCACAGGGTGGATCCGCGTGAATTGGATATCTGTTGTTTTGGCCATCGATTGAATATAAATGAACGGCTATCTTAAGAGCGCAAAAGCTTTCAAATCTACACCGGCTAGTTGTTTGCCACGTCACCCAATATGCCAAGCAATTGGATCAGCCCAATACTTGCTGGACTCTCCAATGGACATGTCTGTCTTTCTTCTGGCCTTTGGGCCATAATCTCCTCCAATAATTATATATGTGGGAAAATTACAAGTACATGGACTTATTGGTTCCATTTTACATTTACATGGAGTCAAATGACATTTCAAAAGGTTGTTTACTCATCTAAGGCCTAGCACAAAACCGACATTAGTCGATAGTAGCTTTTCTGAATATCTCTCGACTGTGAAGTATTTGCTGCTAGGAGGTTTGATTGCATTATGGATAGTTAAAATTCTATAATATATATATATATTTTCTTGTTTAATGATAACCTATAATTTGCTCTAGCTTTTCTCATCATTTCAATGTCAATTTTCATTGTTGGTACTTTGTTATTTTGAGTAACCACTGTTTTATTTTTTTATTTTTTTTCATTTTTTTTTTTCAGTAGTTCTTAGTCCTACGGTCTATAAGCATTCTGTTACATGCGTGCCTGTAATTCAAATCAAAAGTAGACAACTTAAATGGCTCATTCATTATAGTTTGGATAGTTAGCCGTGCTTCTCCTTTCTTTTTTTTCTTTAATTAAGAGCACATTTTTGTTTAATATTGGTGGTGATACAATTTTAACAACTGACAACTGACATTTTTGTTAAAATTTTAATCTGAGTTATGCTCAATGTGCTGTTTTTATGATTGTGTAGGAGGTGATGAAACATGGCGATTGAAGTACCCAAGGATACAAACTGATAGAAATACAGAATAAAATTGAAATTACCCTTTTTTTCACTCAATAAACAAGCTTGTGTCTGATTCCAAAATTTTCTGCAAAGAAAGCTAATTGAATATGAATGCGAAATAATAATGTAAGCATTTTATAGTGACATTGAACTAGCTTTCTCCATCAGAACATTCTTTAAAATTCCAATTATTAATGCTGATTTTCCCAATCCATGTTTTTATATAATTATTTTGAATCCGGAAGCTCTGCACTTCAAACATCTGTATACGAATCAAATTTGATCACCCGTATGGATATGGGACTCCTTACGAAATGTTCGCCATCTGTCCAGATTAGGCTTCCAAATTTGTAACCCCCTTGCATCTTCTGAGTTGAGAAGAAGGAAACTTTAAAAGGAAGAACTGGGATGGTTGAATTGAAACGCAGAATTTGAGGTTCAACCACCATTTTAACACCATATGGAGCCTGTGTTATGGCTTTGTACACTGAATTAGTGTGTCCCACATTTGTCACACTTCTCAAGACTGTCACTATCTTTTTAAGGTTCGGAATGGTGATAGAAGGCAGGTTAAGGTTCAACCTAAAGTAGTTGTTTTTCATGCAATTGGTTGTGGTCTTTGTTAATCTGGTAATAGATATGTTGCTGTAGCCCATGGAGCAAAGGAACTGAATGTAGTCTTGTGTGCTGATATTGTATATTAGCCCTGGATTTACTGCTCTGTTGGGATTGACATGCCCACCGCCAATGTCAAATGGATCAGCTGCCTTGCGAGTAGAGCCCTGCTCAGTTATGTCCGTTCCATCTGTTCCTGTTTGTGATGCTGCAGGTTGAATGGATTCACACTTATTTCGGATGGCCAAGGTCTGCAGAAGTGTAATATTTACTAAATGTGTGACTCACCAGTAGTGACAAGGGCTGATCTTATGGCTGCAGGAGACCAATCTCGGTGTACAGATTTTATGAGAGCTGCGATTCCAGTCACGTGAGGACATGCCATTGAAGTTCCTGATAGGATTGCATATCCGTTACTGTTTTCTGTATTCTCTGGTGGATATGCAGCTAAGATGTTCACTCCCGGTGCTGCTATGTCTGGCTGCTTCAATTGAACCAAAACCCAGTGATCAAATAAGGTAACAATGTCATTTTAAACAAATAAAGAACTGCAGAGAAGCAATAGACTCTACATCGCTGCGGGAGGACAGAAGGAAGGCATCCATTCAAAGAGGTAAATTTCCCAATTCTTTCAATTTGGTTCTCTTAGAAGTCAGAAACATAACACTACATGTAGGAAATGTGATTTTTTTTTTTTTTTTTTTTTTTTGGAATATGCAGTATAAAGCACTATATTACAGATACTTAAATTTTTTAATACCTTGAGTTTGTTTTGTTAGTATTTCTTTTAAATAGTTCTGTTCATTTCATCTCATCCTTGCATTTTCCTTTTCCTTCCTCTAGCGTGTGGGATCAACTTTGTGTCCAAATTGAGCTTCACTTTTTTCTTTTATGTGTATGATATAAATTTGTTCTTAAAAATGTAGATGAAACATTTGTGTTCTAAATGATGCAGCTTCTGACATGATTGTTTGATCATATATATAGAGTATTTTTTTTAATCTATGATTCAATCATTTATTTTGTTGTGAATACTTTCAATTGTTTGACTTAACTTTATCTGTAGAGCGCGATGCTAAACTAAATACTTTTTAACACTGCCTTATCTTGCAAATACCAATTATCAGAAGATGTGTTTATGCATCAGCCATCTATCATATTAGCGTCTTTTTAATTGTTCTCTAATTTGAACATATCATTCAAATGTCCAACATGGTCGCCAACTTTTTTCTATTCAATCAATAGACAGAGCTATCGTCATTGAAAAGGAGCTTTTGAATCATAACATAGGGCTTTGAATTATTTTTCATACCTTTAATACAGATGGAGACATGGAACTAGGTCCTCTTGATGAGAAGTACGCAACTTGTGGAGATGCCATTCCCCCAATGGCAGTCTTGGGAAAACTCAGCTTCACTGTTGGAGACCTTCGCAAAAAGTGTTGACAGTTAATTTTCTTAAGCATTCTCCTCTTCATGTAATTAAAATGTTAGAATCTCCTTACCTTGCTTTTCTGATGTAGGATAGTAGTTGTGTTCCTACTTCATAATCTACTTTAATGCAAGGGATTACATCACATGTGTCAATCTGGTTATCGTGCAACTGTGCATATATGAGTGCAACACCTCCTGCTTTAGCCACAGCAGTTGACGCAGAAAAAATATCCGGTCTATCTGGAATTGAGAAACAGAGGACAACTTTTCCAGCTGCTAATGTTTTATTGAGACTTCCAAACTGGCAATCCTTGCTAGACAGTATATGAAAAATACAACACATCTGAGGTAGGTGGAGACAGTATAAAAAGGAACACTCGGAAAAAGAAAAAGAAAAAAGGAAGAAAAAGAGAGAGAAAATGAATCTCACGCTGAATAATCTGTAGAGTCCACAGCTATGCGTTCTGAGTATACTAGGCTGATAAATCCATTAGTGTGTTTTCCTGTATCAAGAGATTGGCCCTGCAAAAAACAAGACTATTGAACTTAGATAATTGCCAATTTTTTCTTGATTTGATTTTTGGAACCACATATTTTACATTAAGAGTGCGGTTGTTTCCAAGTGTCATGGCTGTTGGGAAGGCCCTGTCAATGGTGGTGGCCACCACCGTGATGAGCCAGGGTGCAGCATTCTCAATTGTCCCTGAGATAGGGCCATTATTTCCTCCGGAACAAACCACAGTAATCCCCTTTGTAATTGCATGGAAGGAACCGATTGCCATTGAGTCACGTTGATCAACATAGGAAAATAAGGGAATGGCATGGCCAAGTGACATAGATAGGATGTCCACTCCATCATGTATAGCTTCATCAAATGCCTTTAGTATGTCAGCGTCTGTGCATCCTACATACTCAATGTCCCAGCAAGCCTTGTAGATTGCCAAGTGAGCAAGCGGTGCACCTCCTCTGGCTGTACCTGCAGCTAGTCCTCTATAACTTGCTTTATCTACAAATCTGCCTGCTGCCGTTGAAGCTGTATGAGTACCATGACCCATTCCATCCCTTGGTGAGAGGAACTCAATGCTACCAATTTTGTTGATGGGCATTTTGAGTTGATTGATAAGACCTTTTATGAACCAGCGAGCTCCAATCAGTTTGTTATTGCAGTTGGTGTAGTTGAAGCGCTCTCCATTCTGGCAAATACCTTTCCAATATGACGGAATTGGACCCATGTCTTCGTCTTTGAAACTTTCAGACTCAGGCCAGACTCCTGCACAGTTTTGGATATTCAAGTTAAATAAATATATTTTTGAATGAAGAACAGAATTTTATAAGCTCATAGATCACCTGAATCTATCACACCAATGATCGTTCCTTCACCCTCATTGCTCTTTGTTAATTTTTTTTTTGGAGAATGATGACCAAGTCCAAGAAAATCCCAGCTTCGGGTTGTATGGAGCTTGTGAATGCGATTTGGGAACACTTGGACAACGCCAGGGAAGTCTGAAATTCATGGGTGGACAATAATTATAGTGCCTGAAAATATTTAGCATCTTCTGTTATGTGCACAATTTCTTGCAAAGTATTGTCTTTGGCAATGAAACTACCTGCAATCTCTTCTGATTGAGACTTTGTCAGCCTTGCTGCAAACCCGGAAAACCCATGCTTATAGCTGTAAAGAATTGAACTCCTGGCAGCTTCTTTGCTTCATTAATAGGAATCAAGAAAATTTCCATTCATATTTTTACACATGATGATCAAAAATTTGTCTCAGCATTAAGTGATTTTTATAATGAATGGGATTGATCAAATGGCATACCTTCCAAGCAAGGCTGATAACGTCTTGTGGTGTGATTTCCTGATAATTGCTGGATCCTCATGTTGCTTTTCTCCCATATAGACAATATGCACCTAGAAACATTCCCTGTTATTTATTTGTAATAAAAAAGTGGAGCTGGAAGTTGAAGTAACAAAAATATATCCTTACATCAGTTGTGGATGCAACATACACTACAGAGATGTATAAATGGTATTGAGTTACAAAGAGAGTAATAATGAAGAGCCAGTGTATTTTTCTTGCCCATCTGCATTTACTTGAATCGGCATCCATTGATAGGAGATTTAAGTAGGCACAGGAAGAGTTTTTGAAATTTTCTGTCAGCGATTTGGAAAAACTTATAACCCAGCTGTTCCAGCATCAGTGGTTGTGTTTAAATTTTATGAAAAGGAGAAAAGCAGATCATCCTTTCGTTCCTGGTGTGCTTTTGCTCTTTATGATCAACAAATGGAAAAGTAATGTGGAATGTATTCGATTGTACACATTACATGAAGTGGGAAGATGCTTAGGCAAGAGAACCAATTGAAGAGCATAATATTTGGAGAATCATATGTACTGAAACATGATTTTGCATTGATAGATTTGCAGAAAGCTTGTAATGATCACTTGATTGGGTCTCGTCAACTCAAAACAGTAGGCAAATATGCTTTTGACTTTTGAGGTGGATCCAGTAAACATTGGCATCGCTCTCAGCTATGGTGAAGGTAAAGCTTTATCCTGTGTGGTTCACCATCATGTTATTCAGAATCATTACTTTTTTTCCTACTAAGGCATGGGTTATGATCATCTACCTTTGTGCTTTTCTGAACTTCATCTTCTCCTACATTTAGTCCAAAAATGCTTGGTTTTTTTTTTTTCCCCCGGTCTAATGCAGTTAAAAGTGGTTTTAGCAGTGCTATTTTTCGCAAATTAATCTTATAATTTATTTAAAATCATTTAGACTTTTGTTTCTATCCCCATCAACTTTGATGGTCTGCCATTTTAATGGTTGATACCTAAAATGATGGCAATGGTGACTTGGGTATTATTGCAGGCCCCCTTAGCCATGTTCATTGTACTGCCTTTGCCCAAAAGCTCAACCGTGAGATTCCAAACCAATAACTTTTGTATTGTGCTTTTGCTTTTCTTGTTTCTCTCCATTGTCAACTGTGGGGGGTGTTCTTTTTCAAGCAAAAGAAGGATCGTTCAAGGAAAATGTATTACTATAACAAACCCTAGAACACATAAAGGACAAAGGAGGGATGACGACTGCATGTAGTGCAATGAGTGAGAGGACTTCATAAATTTTGGGTTCACATCTTACCATTGTTCGTGTACAAATAATTTCACTATATACAATGGACCACTAGGCCTACTTAATAAATTTCTTCTTAAATTTAGTCTGACCTCAAGCAAGGGGATGATTTAGGCTGGAGTATTCAGAAATATTTCCCCATCTACATTGAATTGTGCTAATATAAAACATTTAAGAGACTTTGCCAGACATGAGTGGAAGAAACAGAGTTCAGAAAAAATAGTGCATAATGGACCGAAGTTTCTAAAGTTGCTTTTTCTTGTTAATCTTATACAGGGTCTCATATAATGGTGTCACTTACTCAATATAGTCACAAAAGGGCCTCTTGCACAGTTGCACTGGAACCAAAATCTCATCAAGGGGGTCCATTCTTAACACTTATTGTTCCAATTTTGCAGCTTTGTTCACAGATGGGGAAGTTTGGCCCACTCACCAGCACAAAAAGAAAAGTAAGCCTAGGCACAGCACTCTCTTGTAGTGCTCTTTTTTCCTTCTAATGTCTGTGTATTGTATTTGAGTAGATAGTGAAACAAATAAGGGCATTCGTTTGGGTTGATTTTGATGCAGTTAAATTTGTAATCTCAGCTTCAATACAAGTATCAGATTAACGTAAACGATCTGTGCAAACTTTAATTAGCAAATTCTACATATTGTATGACTTCATTCATTTGTTGAGAATAAAATCGATTAACATGTAGAATAAAAAACAGACGAGGAAGTAAAATGATACAAGATCCCATCAGCTTACTAGTAAGAGGAATGTTTTGGACAATCATGACTGTGCAACTGTCTATCCTCGTCTGTTGTTATTCTGGTAAGCTACATCATGAGAACTGAAGATGCACAGATACTTTCAATTGTCATCAGTATAAGATGGAATGATCTGTGTCCTCGCAGATATGGGACTTGTCACCATGTGCACCCCATCTGTCCAAGTCAGGCTTCCAAAATAGTATCCCGTGTTCACCCGGTTGGTGGAGGAGACTTCAACCTTGTAGGAGATGGTGTTGGTGGTGCAGTTGAAAACCAGAACATCAGGTTCTACAGCTACAGTTATTCCAAGTGGAGTCTGAATCAGTGGTTTATAAATGGAGGTAAGTGGTCCTACATTTTTGACACTCCTAGTGATGGTGACAGTGTCTTTCAGACTTGGAATGGTGATGGAAGGTAGATTCACATCCAGGATGGAGGGCTTTGTATTAGGACACATTTTGGATTGACCTACAAGCTGAGATATAGCCGAGTCGTTGTAGCCCACGGCACAGAGATAATGTATGTAGTCATCCATGTCCATGTCATATACCAGACCAGGATATGCAGCCCTGTGTGGGTTCACAAGGCCACCTCCATAATCAAATGGATCAGAAGGCTTTCGGGGAGACCCCTCAGCAAAGATAGGCTCTCCAGATGGATCTGTTTTCCATGCTGCCATTAACAACTTATGTAAGTCAAAAATAGTTTCCAGTTATATGCAACACAATATGTGCACAATGTGAATGTACTTTGGTCATTTACAGACCAAAGAAAATGTGGGAGTTTTAATGATATATCAGATAGTGAATTTAACAGCTTAAGAGGTACCAGTTGTGACTATTGCCGATTTAATAGCAGCAGGGGACCAATTGGGGTGCAATGCTTTGAGGAGCGCCACAATGCCTGAGACATGAGGAGTTGCCATTGATGTTCCTGAATAAAATGCGAATCCACCATCCATCGTAGTATCTAAGGGAGAACTAGCTGCTAATATATTCACCCCAGGTGCAGCTATATCTGGCTGTGCTGACATAAAAATGCCCAATTTGTTAGTCACCAATGAATAGGATTCAAAAATTAGCTACATCATACTGTTTTTAACTCCATGTTTGACATAGAGTTAGTAGTTACCTTCAAAATGGCTGGTTCAATGGAGCTAGGGCCTCTAGATGAAAAATATGCAATTTTGGTCGACACAGGTTTCCCAATTTGTGTCCTTGAAGGGCTTAATTTCACCATGGGAGAACTGTGTGCATCAAACCAAACAAGAGTTCACATACTAACAAAGAACAGACAACAATGACTGCACATATGCTACTGATGGTAAATGAAGATACCTTGTGGAACGAATGTAGAATAGTATCTTTGTTCCAAGTTCATAATCCACAACAATACACGGGAAGTCATTGCTGCACGGAGCCAAGATATTGCTGGGATTCTTGGCAACGATGACCCCAAGCCCACCGGCTGCTCTAACAACTGATGAAGCTTTTGCCACTGGTATCCGGCTGGCCACTGATGTGAAGCACAGAACCACTTTTCCTACCACTGAAGTGTTACTAAGCGAAAGAGATTCACAAGCACTGCAATTAAAATCTCGTTTTTTATAATACATCCCCATTTACCAGTAGAAGGAAAAAAGAATAAGAAAATCATTAATTGCTTTACCCAGGAGGTGTTGGATGGAGTCCTGGGGACTCTGGATACACTAAGCCTGTGAAACCAATTTCCTTCCCTGTAGACATGTCTTGACCCTACAAGAATTACAAAAGTAAAGTAAAATCTATGCCAAAATATTTAATGACTAATGACTAGAAAGGTGAAATTGAGGATGATTTAGTACACAGATCCATAGCCATGATTTGGACATCAACAAAAAATTGCTGTGACAATTTATTCACATCCTCAAAAGAAGATATAATAAGACATTTATCAAGTCTAAAATTTTAGCAGCATACCAATATGGTTTTGTTGTTTCCTAGTGTAATTTGTGTCGGAAATGACCTATCCATTGTGCTAGCTGCAACGGTCAAGATCCAGGGCGCTGTGTTCAGAACTGTCTGAGCAGCAGGACCATCATTTCCAGCTCCGCAAACAACTGTAATACCCTTCATCACAGCATGGAATGAAGCAGTGGCAATCACATTGCGCTCATCAACGTCCGGAAATTTACCACTACCACCAAGAGACACAGATATGACATCAACCCCATCATGTATTGCTTCATCAAATCCTTTTAGCATATCAGCAGCTGAACACATCCCTGTTGGTACATTCCAGCACACCTTGTACATGGCCAAACGAGCCCGGGGTGCACCACCTCTTGCTATCCCTTGGCCAAGACCTTTGTAGTTTGCACTGACCACGAAGGAACCACCGGCAGTGGTGGACACGTGTGTGCCATGTCCTGCTGCATCTCTAGGGGACAAATATTCTGGGTTATCAGAAGTGTTGAAAGGCTGCTTTTGAGCAAGAAAACCATCAATGAACCACCGGGCTCCTATCAATTTCCTGTTACAGTCTGTTGTGGCATTAAAGTGATCTCCGGAGTCACACCGACCCTTCCAGCGTGACGGTATAGGCCCAAGGTCCTTGTCACTGAACATTTCTGACTCTGGCCACACACCTGCCATCGTAAATCAGTTCAGAAATACGCAAGTAAATAAAAAGGGCTAGCTTAGTGCACGAGGCTCTCGCCATTACTGGACGTGGAGAGACTGTTTTCTGTGTCGAACCCATGACTTCCATCTCACAATGGAGCAACCTTACCATTACGTTAAGGCTTGCCCTCAACCACCCACATAGATTATATATATATATTAGATTGAGAAAGAAAGAGAGAAGAGCAACCTGTGTCAAGGATACCAATGATAACTCCATCGCCCATATTGGAGTCGTACAGAAGATTGGTAGGATTACATAAAGAGAGGCCAAGGTAATCCCAACTCCTGGTTGTTTGCAGTGTGTGAAAGCCATTGGGTATAACACGAACAACTCCAGGTAATTCTATGCAGGTTACAAATTAGAAATGATGATAATCAATTAACTACTAGTTTTTAGACATATTGCAAACATTATATATAGTAATTGACGCGTAATGCTATATATATATATGACAATAAAAGAGATGGACAAATTAGCAAACTGTAAAGCTATGACAATTAAAGAGAGAGAATTTTTATGCATATTCTTAGCCATATGTCTCTGTCTTTCCTATCAGTAATCCTAATTAACCAGGAAAAGAAGCAGAACTTAATGTGAGATACCTGCAATCTTTTGTGCTTGAGACTCTGTGAGCTTGGCTGCGAAGCCAGAGAAACCATGTTTGTAACTGTAAACCATTGCATCATACGCGGCTTCTTTGCTACATCATGAAGAAAAATCATATGTACATAAACTGTACATCATCTCTAAAACGAATGTGAGAAAAGTGTACCATATCAGTATTTATATATATACCTTCCAACTACAGAAGCAAGCAAGTCATGGTGCGAAGCTCTAACGAGCTCAGGATCATTGTGCTGCCTCTCCCCCATATATACAATATGAAGCTATCATGTATATATATATATTATTAACAAGAATTGTCAGCATACCTCAACTCATGAGGTGAGACTAATTGAGACTTAGATAGGAAGAGAGCTTCTCTTAAGTACTTACTCTACTATTGGCCTCAGCCATGGCAGTGAGAATCAAGAATAGTTTGATCAACACCAACATAAGTGTTTCTTTGCTCTTCTTGATTGTAAGAATTTCCATGTCCCTCTATGTTTATTATTTTTTTCAACATCTGAATGTATAGAGATGTATGGATCATATTATTAAGATTTTGAATCCAAGAAGCATGTACAATGTTTTCTGAGTTGATTCTTTATTTCATAGGATTATGCCAGCAAACTTCACAAACAACTTGTACAGGATATCTTGTAAGATTGTTTCTTTAAATTATTAAATCTCTTGTCTGTAGGTACAAAAAAATTAATTGACTGGGAATACAAAAAACAGGACAACATTTACACACAATCAAGGCCATAAACAAATGAAGTTATTAATTATATAAATTAATTTATTTAGAAACTCATTTGAGATAATTAAATTCGTGAGACAAACGAGTCAATCTTAAGCATATTTAAAAATAAAAATAAAAACACACACACACACACTTTTTAATTTAGTGAGATTAACTTGATAATGCAAGTAAGATTGATCATATTTGTTAAGTTCATTACTTCTACTAGCTGATGAAGTTTGGTTTGTTTTACACACAATCAACAAAATGAAAATACAAGCACTAGTTGTCATGAGTCGCAACTGATGTATTATGAATATAACTTCCGTCTCAAATCATTTTGGGTCTTTTGACTTATGAAAGGGGCATTAACTGTGGAACCAAGCTAGGATATGGGTGAAGAATGGGCTTCTGTGCAATCCAAAGGTTTTGGACTTTTGAGTCATTGCATTCACACATTGTCAATACCCATAATTCAGTACTTTACAATTCAAATCCTTTTTCTTTTACAAAAATAAAAAAAATAATAATTTTATATATGTAAAAAGAAATAAAAGAAATCCTAACTTTCTCTCATATATTCAAAATGAATACACCAAGGCTGTATCCTAATAATATCCTCCTTTCTTTTAAAGAGGATGGCGAGAGTGTGCGCAATGATACTTTGAGACCGAATGAAAATTAGTCTAACAGAATTTTGCAAATGGTTATCAAGTTAATAAATGATAATAAAATTTGTTTATCAGATGTATTGAATCTATTTCATAGGATGACTTTAGTGAAGCTGTTCAGATAACTGCAACTCATCCAATTACTTTCTCCCTCTCCGTGTTTGATTGACCCAATAAATTGAAACCTAAGATGATTATCCTCGTACCTCTGAATCCCTACGAAATTAAACCCATCATTATGAAGATCGGTATTAGATGACTTTAAATGTTCAACTAAAGCTCCATGAAAAAAAGAAAAAAAGAAAATATATATATATATATATACAGCTCAAATTAATAAGCACGAGAATACGGGCTCGAGTATTTATTAAACCACAAAAGCTCAAACTGACGAGTTCTAAAAACATGAACTTATGTTTTTTAAAATAAAAAATAAAAAAAAAAATCAGTCCTCTCACTTTTCTCAGAGCAACGAATTGAGAACTGGAGAGTAGTTTTGTATGGGAGTGGTAAAATTTTCCTGTATGGAAGTGGTAAATTTGATTATGCAAAAATTATATTCATATGTTTGCTGCAACTAAATCTGGTGATCCAAGTTGGAAAAGGCTTATAACCCACCATACATGATTGAAGACACAGTAACAAATGCTTCATCTAAAATCTACTCAATTTGTAGGAAGTCTGAAAAGTAACATTAATCATAGAGCTATATAAATGGTTTACTCAGTGATTTTGAAATAAGATTGTATAACCGTCACTCTTCAAATTTCATTAACACAAGATTGAATGATCTCTGCTCTCACAGAAACAGGACTTCTCACAGCATGCATTTCATTAGTCCATGTTAGGCTCCCAAAATAGTATCCTGTGTTCATCTGATGAGTTAATGAGACTGTAACTTTGAAGGAGATCTTCTTGGTCCCAGAATTGAAGGCCAAGACATCAGGTCTTACTGATAGGATGGTACCCACTGGAGCCTCAATCACAGCTCTATATACAGAATCAACGTGTCCTACATTTGTGACAGTTCTGGTGAGGGTGGTGGAGTTTCTGAGACTTGGTATGGTTATGGAAGGTAAGTTTACATCGAGAATGGAGGGTTGTTTGCTGGGGCACAATGTGGGTTGTCCTATAAGCCGAGAGATGGCAGAACTGTTGTATCCCATAGCACATAGGTAATGTATGTAACTGGCTCTGTCCATGTCATATATCAAACCAGGGTCTGCTGCACCATTCGGGTTCACAATGCCGCCTCCAAAATCAAATGGATCAGCAAGCTTTCGAGGGGAACCCTCAGCAAAGATTGGAAAACCATTCTGACTAGTCATCCATGCTGCATTAAGACTTATAATAGAATAGCTAGTCTCAAGCAATCTAAACATCGATCAGAAAAATAAATACTACATATTTAGATAAAGATGATCAGAATAGAAATACCTGTGGTGACAAGTGCTGATTTTATTGCTGCGGGGGACCAATGAGGGTGTAGAGCTTTGAGAAGGGCGACAATTCCTGAGATATGAGGAGTTGACATTGATGTTCCTGAAAGCATGGCAAATCCATGGTCTTCAAATCGGCCAAGAGGAGAAGTGGCAGCTAATATATTCACACCAGGTGCAGTTATATCTGGCTGTAGCACAATAGAGAAGCAAAATAATATGAGACACCTTGAATATCATATATGGGGCCAATTCAAGGCAGCTCTTAAAGTGGAAAAGGCCGAATAAGTGTCAATTTTCTTAATTAAGCATGTCTAGAGTACTCTTTGAATTTTGTCAACGAGTAAGGTAAGATTTAGAGTACAATTTGATAACAAATCATTTTTTCACTCTTCCTGGCTTGAATAGGACGACCTTAAATAATAGTATCTCTTCCATTTTCCTTAGCCCAAGAACAAGAAAAAAGCCACTCATATACATTACTTAGCATTTTAGGATTATTAATAGCACAGTATACGTAATCTTGTACTCACTAGAACAGAGATGACGGGATTTATATAACACCATTTTAGGATCATACAACAGGATTTTGAGCTTATCACCTAAAAGCACAAGCTTAGGGGACATGTTTCTGCTTGCAATTCTGGATTGAGCTCTGGGTTTGGGCTGGTAGAGGGCTCGAGTTTGTGGAGTCCACTAGGCTTGAACCAAACTTCATCCAGCCCATCCAACCAGCCTCACTAAATCAATACAAAGTAGAGATAGCCTCCATATTCTAAGTATTAATACCATTAAAAACATTAAACATTATTTTACTTTCTACTTGAGTGATAGAGAATACCTTGAGAATTGCTGGCGCAATAGACCTAGGCCCTCTAGATGAAAAGAAAGCCACATTAGCTGACACCGGCTTGCCCACAAGAGTTCTGGAAGGGCTCAACTTCACCATAGGAGACCTGCGTACCCCAGTTGACAAACGACCATTCAAGCATTGCAATGGACCCATTAAATTGATGATGACTATCAAAATGGGAAGAATGACAGAAGATAATACCTTGTAGAACGAATGTAATATAGAATCTGCGTCCCAGCAGTGTAGTCAACTTCAACACAAGGGAAGTCATTGCTGCATGGATTCAAGGAATCTCTGGGGTTCTTGGCAATGATAACACCAACGCCACCCGCTGCTCTCACTGCTGATGAAACACTTGAAACTGCAATCCGAGACACAAGAGTGAAGCACAGCACCACCTTTCCAGTTACTGAAGAGTGATTGAGTAACAGAGCTTCACAAGCACTGCAATGGGGCAAAACAAAGATAAATCACCAAGGGCATTATTTAATTAATGTTTAATGTAAGAACATCAAGTGATAAAAAAGTACTAAATTAATCCAATATCTTGAGGTACCCTGCAGATGTAAGATCAAGCCCTTTGGACTCTGGGTATAACAAACCAGTGAAACCAATTTCCTTCCCTGTATAAATCGCGTGACCCTGCAACGATTACAAAAATAAATCAATGACAACACACTCGTCATGATCTTTTGCGTGCCTAAAATTATTGGAGCCGAATTAATTGATGAATAAGAATCTAGTCCATAACATTAAGTATACCAGTATGGTTTTGTTGTTTCCAAGTGTTATGGGTGTAGGAAATGCCCGATCCATGGTGCTAGCTGCAACGGTTAAAATCCATGGTGCAGTGTTCTGCACTGTCTGGGCCAAAGGTCCATCGTTTGCAGCTCCACAAACAACAGTAATACCTTTGGCCACAGCATGGAAAGAGCCTGTGGCAATCCCATCACGTTCATCAACATCTGAGAACAGAGGAATAGAATATCCAAGTGACAGCGACAACACATCAACCCCATCATGTATGGCTTCATCAAAGGCTTTCAGGATATCAGCAGATGAGCATTGTCCTCCAAGCACATTCCAGCACACCTTGTACACCGCCAACCGAGCACTAGGTGCACCGCCTCGTACAGTCCCTAGAACAAGGCCCTTGTAGCTAACATTGCTCACAAAAGAACCAGCTGCGGTGCTGGAGGTGTGTGTGCCATGCCCATTTGCATCTCTCGGTGACAAGTATTCTTGGTCTTCTGATCTGTTTAATGGCTGTCCATACTCGGCAAGAATTCCATCGATGAACCAACGAGCTCCAATGACTTTCCTATTGCAGTGTGCCTTTGCATTGAATTGCTCTCCAGATTCACAAACACCCTTCCAGTGGGACGGTATAGGCCCAAGCCCTTCATCATTGAAAGCTTTTGACTCGGGCCAAAATCCTGCCAGGTTGATTTAGATATATATTCAGTCCTTCATAAACATAACACACATTCACGCACGAGAGAGAGAGAGAGAGAGAGAGAGAGAGATGTGGGTTGACCTGTATCAAGGACACCTATGATGACTCCATCACCCATATTACTTTTGTGAAGAATGTTGTTAGGGGTATGAGAGGAGAGACCCAGGTAATCCCAGCTCCTGGTTGTCTGCAGCTTGTAAAGGGAATTTGGTATGACACGAACCACACCCGGAAACTCTGAAGTATATGAATTGTGTATGTATGATTAATGTCAAACACCATTTACTCGAAAAAAACTTAAGCTGTTAAAGAAAGTATAACTTAAGTATTTATATTTTACAAATTGTCAGGTAAGTTATTATTTAGTGATAAGTTCATTTCTAGAGGATCCAATTGCTTCATAGTCATCTGAGGCATGGTTTAGTCATGATTATATCTAAAAACAAAGTCCTTAAAGCGAGGGATGAATGTTTGAAGGAAGATGAAAATAACAGTTTTTGTTTTGAAAAGTACCGGCAAGTCTTTGTGCCTGAGACTCTGTAAGAATAGCTGCAAACCCAGAGAAGCCATGTTTGTAACTATAAACCATCAATTCTGAGGCTCCTTCCTTGCTGCACAATGATTATTAAATTAATGTAAACAAATACACACAAACTAGTAGAGAAATTCTATGAACGTTTAATGGTAGCATAGATATAATGTTTTCTGGTTTCTTTCAATTTGTACATACCTTCCAATAATTGTGGCGAGCATGTCATGATGTGAATCTGTGATGAGATTAGGATCATTGTGCTGTCTCTCTCCAAGATAAACAATGTGAACCTGTTGATTGAAAAAAGAATGTTTCAATATATATACATAAATGTATATATGTCTCTGTAAGGTTTCTAAATCTAATCCTTGAAACTCTGGGATGTGTTGTTGAGATAAACAAATTAAGCATACATACATTGCTCTTGGCGACCAGTTGTGTTGTTATGAAGCACTGTCCATAGAGAACAAAGAGAAAATACAGTACAAGGAATGGAGTTGGGTTGCTCATATTGTCTGGTGTGTTTGAGACAGATGATGAAATCAGAAATTGATTAAGAATCTGATTGAGAAATCACTCAATGGCTCTTAGAAGACGGAAAAAATTTAGACATACCAATATATGCTTGCTTTTGAAAATTACCAAAACTCAGATGGCACTTCAAAGTTTTAATGTGGGCAAGTTGTATGTACAACCACACAAGTCATAATAGCTTACATGGTCCAATCAGTAGAAAGTAAAATGGCTTCAAATGGGCTTCATTTTTGGAGATTTATTGTGCCCAAGCACTTCAGTTACAAGCTATTAATATTCTTCAAATGAAATGTAAGTATAACATGAGGCCTCAAGCATTACATAAATACATACAAGGATCAAAAGTTAATAAGAAAAGGTCAGCATGGCTAACTGTAGGTAACGATCGTGAAATATTGACTAGTAGAGAAGTTATCTTCTTGATCATTTGACTGGTGGCACAAATGCTAGAAAATCTACTCCGATAATGTCCACATTAAATAAGTATTATTGACTGACAGATTGTTGACTTCTTCCTATGAATTATCAGATAGCCAGAGGAAATGTTTTTAATTTAATTTGAATGGTCCAACCATTGAATTTTGCACTGATAGTGATGATATATAATTGACCTTCATGTTTGGGGCCACAGACAAATCTCTTAACTCTCTCTAGATGCTATTAATTATCAAGAATCACCTAACAAAGAGAAAAGAAAAGAAGAACAAAACCAAAGACTAAACTTTCCCAATCTTCACAAGATAGTTAAAATAACACAACCAAAAAATTGTTATCCCCTTCCAGACCTTGTGCCATGTTTTCATCTCATTTAGCTACTTGTGCGACGAGAATGAGTTTGCTTTAAGATAATGTGCACCAACCAGGCAGAATCCTGTATAACATGACTGCATCAGGTTTATATTTTGTTTAGGCAAGCTTCAATATAAACACTTCGATTAAGTCAACCGCAATCTGAGCATTGTATGTCTGCATACCATTTCTTGGTTTGGCACCAATGAAACCTAATCCTCTTCCCACATGGTATGTCGAATTATTGTATCGATAATAATGAACGCATGTCTGCTGTCTTAATTACAAAAAGAAATGTACATGCTCAGTGCCCACTGAATTCGCATTTAGAGCAAAGGGTCAGCGATAAAAGGGCTTGCATGAAGCATTATAATGGGAATACAATTGCAAAGCAGTTTTTACATGCCCCTTCAATGGTCAAAGCAATAACCATAAAGTTTGTTTCAGTGGAATGCATGACCCTACAAAATTTGAATTTAAAAGATAAGTTGTACTATTTCATCATGTTCCACCAATCATATTTGGTATGCAATTAATTATGCAAAGTATATAGCTTTCATAAGCTCACCAATTCAATTTCTAATTTTCCTATAGCTTTCTGATAATGACTCATCACATCTTAATCCAATAGTCGTGCTGCCTAGAAGCCACTTTTTCTAATAATAAATATAAATTGGGAAGATAAGGGTTTACTGACAAAGCCTAAACAAAACTAAGTGACTATAAATTAAAGAAAGAAAAGATGAATATTCACCAAATTAAAAACTTAAATGCCTCATTTGAGATTTATTCCATAAAGTGCCCTTCTTATATTGAATTATTTTATAATTAGGCAAATCTACCTTATACATTATGAAAATCCCTAAAAATTGTGGAAAGTCTAAAATGGTATTATATATACTCATTAATCATTTGAACAAAACAAAATCAATAAAAACCCAATTGCCATAACATAGGAAACTATCTTGATCAGCAGATGGAAAAGCCCAGATCAGAAATTAAGAGTACTCAAAAGGCAGAGGAAGGGAGGAGATTAAACCTGGCGTTGGGGGACTCTGCAGGGGATCTCAACTTGGAATTCAACAGGAAGACCCAAGAACCCATTGAAGCGATCGAATGTGACATGGGTGATATGTTGTGTTGAACGTTCATGGGCCACCTGATTTCCATGCGATGAACGGCGGAGATGACTTCCTCCCGTCGATCCACATCGCAAAAGTCCATGGATTTTCTCAGAACTAAACAAAAATCAATAAAACCCAATCAATTGCACAAACCAAAAGAATTGTTTCCTTCTTTCGCCTCTTTGATTCGAGTCCGAACGTGGATTCAACACCTCTGCCAAACCCTAGATTTCTCAAATAATTTGTATAATCCCCTTAATTTTCTTCTTCTTTAGTATTATTTTTATTTTGGTTTTGGGAGTAAAATGTTCTACCTTCGTCCCTCAGTGTCAATTTTTGATTTTATAATTTTTTAAGAGGGTGTGCAATTAATGTATTATTATTTTTAAAATTATCAAATTATTATTTTTAATTTAAATATATATAGTTACAAAATTTGAAATTTTTTTTTAAAAAATAAAAGACAATGAAAATATAAATAAAAAATATTTAACTTAAAAAAAAGAGACATGTAAAAAAAAAAAAATAAATCACTAATAAAGGACGAAGGGAGTAGTGTTTTGCACATAAATGACAAGATGATCTAATGTAAGACAGTTGGATTTTATGTTGGGCTTATAAGGGATGGGATGAAATACAACTAGGAATGTAATAAATGGGACATAAATGGAAATGATTTGATAATTTTAAATTGAATTCTTTAAAATATTTCTCTCAATAATAAATAAATTAAATTAAAAAATAACATTGCTCCATAATTTTTTTTAGGGTTAATTTCACCTACACTTCCTCACGTTTGTTTATATTTCACTTACACCCCCTCAATGTTTCATAATTCCATCTACACCCCCTGTCAGTAACCACCGTTTAATTTTCTAACAGAAATGTGTGATTTTACTTTTTTGCCCATAAATTATATATTAAAATTTATAACTTAAATAAAAAGACTTAAATGCCCTCTATCTCTTTCTCTGCATAGAGACACATTCTGTAAACACCCGTGACCAAGTCGGACGATGAAGATCTCTTCACCTCTCAAGATTGCTTCACCCAAGTCGGATGGCAATCCCAAGTCCGGTGAAGTTCAGTTCAGTTAGGCGAAGCTCGCAACGGAAGACAACGGCTATGATAAGAACCCGTGTCGTCCATGGCTGCACATCGTCGATCTGAAGACCGATAAAATGTCTCCACATGAAATTTTCATTCCAAGCTAAGATTTCATTAAATTTAGTAAAAATCAAAATCTATAAGCTCTTATCATCCCCAATATCCAACCATCGCCATCTTTAACAGCTCGACCACAATCCATCAATGAAGTTAAGTAACCCGGACAATGTAATCTTATCATCCTAAGTTCTATCCCCAAACTCTCGATTCTGCAACCCAACATTGCAGTCAATGTCTTCGATCACCAGTATGGACCGGTTTGTCGTGTTGATCAACAGCCTCCTCAGATCTGAATTGCATTGAACCTCTCTCAAGTCCAAGTCATACACATCAAACTTCAAGTAATTAGCCATGGCTGCAACCAAACTCGACTTCCCTGTACCGAGTGGTCCATACAACAAATACCCAAGCTTCCAAGCCCACCCAACTCTTCTGTAGTACTCCTTCCCATTTATGAACTTCTCAATATCTTCAATCAGCTCCTTCTTCGTCTCCGTATTCATCGTTATTGTATCGAATGCTGCCGGATGATTAAGAAGCACCGTACCCCAATAGTCTGTACCATTATAGTCCACTGTCTGAAGGCTTTAAAGCTTTTCTCTTTTCTTTAATTGCCTTGGCTCAGCCGAATCCATCTCGTCGAACTCAGTCTCGCTGCTGCCGGACATCACAGCCTCGAACTCAGTTTTCGCCGGCACCATCAACATCCTCATAGTAAGCCATCAACATTTTCGCCGGCGCCGCCATCAACATTTTCGCCGGCGCCGCCATCAACATCCTCACAGCCCGTCATCTTCAACAGCCGGATCGGAGCCAGCCATCTCCCTCTTCGCCAGCACCATCAACATCCTCACAGTAAGCCATCTTCCTCTTCGCCGGCGCCACCATCAACATCCTCACAGCCCGTCATCTTCAACAGCCGGATCGGACCCAGCCATCTCCCTTTTTGCCGGCGGCATCAACATCCTCACAAACCGCCAACTCCTCCCTGCTTTTGTAAGATCCGCCGCCACTGGATCGGCTCTACAACAGCCGCCACCTCCATCTCCAAGCTTGTGTACCTCATGGCCAAAAGTTATCCATCTGTTGAAACTTGAAAATTCTCGGCTACAACAAGCAGGAACTATCTTGGTTTGGGTTGTCACCGACAGAACTATCTTAAGGGTAATTTTGTAAATTTGCATTGGTCAATAACGTTAAAAATGTCATTTCAAGTATTGGAGGGGTAAAATTGACCTTGTACTGATTTGTTAATGCTAACACCGTCAGTTACTTAACGGCAGGGGGTAAGTTGCTACATAAATCAAAACCTCAAGGGAGGTAGGTGGAATTATGAAACGTAGAGGGGGTATAAGTGGAATATAAGCAAACGTTGGGGGGTGTAAGTGGAATTAACTCTTTTTTTTATGGTGCAGTGGCAATAGTGGTAGAGGTGAAAAGCAATTGTGGTGTAGGAGTCAACGGTAGAGGAAAACCATAGTAGTGGTGTTGGTGGAAGGTGGTGATAATTAAGGACGGATCCAAAAAATTGGGTAAGGGGGACAATAGTGAAATGTTTTTATAATTTCAGGGGGCAACACTAAAATTCAATTGGTATATAATTGTAATATAGAAAAATTCCTAGTATTTAGTGTTAAAAATATGAAGCCTCTTTAAGTAATGGTGGAAGGTGTCAGCGGTGTAGGTGATGATGGTGGAAGGTAGTGGTGTGATGGTGGTCGAAGACGATAGTGGTGTAGGTGGAGGTGGTGGAAGGTGGCAGTGATGAAAAGATAGTGGAGGTGACGATGGTAGTAGTTGTGGAAGGCAGTGAAAGTGACGGTAGTAGAAGTCGGTAGCAATGGTGGTGGTTGATGTCGGTGGAGGTGTGATGATGGTGGAAGGCGGTGATAGTCGTAATGATGATGGTGGCAACGGTGGAAGACGGTAGCGATGTAGGTGGTGGAAAATGGAAGTGGTGAAATGTGGTGGTGATGATGGCGACAACGACGATAGTGGTGGTGGTAATGGTTATGGCAGTGGTGACAACATATAAGGCTATTGGTTTTTTGTGGCGGTAGCAATGGTGGTAGTGGTTTTTGGACTTGAAACATAATGGTATTCTGGGAACTTGATTTTTTTTTAAAAATGTTATCTGGGAATGTAATGACCATTCTATAGGTTTAGTTGTGAAATAAATTTTTATTTATTCTCACTTTAAATTGTATACTAAACAAAGAAAATAATTGAAAAAAACATTCTATTTCATTCCATCCATACATACCAAGTTTCTAATTTGATTACTCTACTATTTATATTTTCCTTATTTTGGTCAGTTAGCATTTTTGTTTATGTGAAAATTATTTTTCTTGATAATATATTACAGATTTCCTACCACACAGAATGATCCCCATCCAGCAACGCCTACACAATTCAATACATATATGTATAATGCAAAATTTTGACAAAGTTTCAAAAACCAAACTTGTACTGATGGCTATAGGTTTCCTTAATATTGTATGTAATTGAGCATTTGCATCCAATGTTACATTAGCATCAAAGCAAAATCATGATCCAAGATGCAATTAATCTTAATTTGTTTATCAACTTTATTGATTCTATTTGATAGGATGATTTTAGTTGTTCAACAGTTCATTCCTTCATGGAATGGAATTATTTAGATGATTATGAGCGTTTAACTGAAGTGAATCTTTTGTGATGCTTACAAGAGGATATACAAAATCAGGCAACAGCAACTCAACCAATTACTCGCCAGTCACCACCAAGCTCGAACTATGAAGCACGAGGATAGAAAATTAATCCTAGACCCATAATTTCATTAGCGTTGTATGATCTCTGCTCTCACAGAAACAGGACTTCTCACAACACGCATTCCACTGGTCCAAGTTAGGCTCCCGAAGTAGTATCCTGTGTTCATCTGATGAGTTAATGAGACTGTAACTTTGAATGACATCTTCTTGGTCCCAGAATTGAAGGCCAAGACATCAGGTCTTACTGATGGGATAGCACCCACTGGAGCCTATCACAGCTCTATATACAAAATCGACGGGTCCTACATTCGTGACACTTCTGGTCAGTGTGGTGGAGTTCCTGAGACTTGGTATGGTTATGGAAGGTAAGTTTACATCAAGAATGGAAGGTCGTTTTATGGGGCACAACGTGGGTTGTCCATAAGCCTAGAGATGGAAGAGCTGGTGTATCCCATAGCACATAGGTAATGTATGTAACTGGCTCTATCCATGTCATATATCAAACCAGGGTCTGCTGCACCATTCGGATTCACAATGCCGCCTCCAAAATCAAATGGATCAGCAAGCTTTCGAGGGGAGCCCTCAGCAAAGATTAGAAAACCTTTTTGACCAGTTCTCCATGCTGCATAAAGACTTAGGTTAGATAGTAGAATAGCTAGTCTCAAGACTCGAGCAATCTAAACTTGGATTAAAAATTATGTAGTAATAAATATTTTGACAAAATTGGTCAAAATGGAAATACCTGTGGTGACAAGTGCTGATTTTATTGCTGCCGGGGATCAATCACGGTGAAGAGCTTTGAGAAGGGCTACAATGCCTGCAACATGAGGAGCTGACATTGATGTTCCTGAATGCAAGGCAAATCCATGGTCCTCAAATGGATTACATGGAGAAGCAGCTAATATATTTACACCAGGTGCAGTTATATCTGGCTGTGGCACAATAGAGAAGCAAACTAATATGAGACAACTTGAATGTCATATGTGGGGCCAATTCAAGGCAGCCTAAATTGGCCAAGGCTAAATAAGTGTCAATTTTATTAGTTAAGGATGTATAGATTACTCTTTCAATCTTGTAAAAAACATGAGCTAAGATTTAGAGTACAATTTGAAAATTTGATAACAATTCCTTTTTTCACTCTTAATGGCTGGAATAGGAATCTCTTCCATTTTCCTGGAAGGAAATTGAAGCAAGCCCAAGAACAAGAAGAAAGCTTCTCTTATATATTTCTTAGGATTTTAGGATCATTAATAGCAAAGTATACGTAATCTTGTACTCACAAGAAAAGAGATGATGGGATTTATTTCAAACCATTTTTAGGATCATTCCTATGATGACTCCATCACCCATATCACTTTTGTGAAGGATATTGTTAGGGGTACAAAAGGAGAGACCCGGGTAATCCCAACTCCTGGTTGTCTGCAGCTTGTAAAGGGAATTTGGTATGACACGAACCACACCCGAAAACTCTGAAGTATATGAATTGTGTATGTATGGTTAATGTCAAACATCGTTTACTAAAAAAAAAAACGCTTAAGTTGTCAAAGAGGGTATAATTTAAGTATTTATTTTTTCAAACATAAACAAATTGTCATCAAGTTGTTATTTAGAGGTAAGTTCATATTTAGAGGATGCAATTGCTTCATCATCTGAGACATGGTTTAGACTTGACCATATCTTTAAATATAGCTCGTATAGCGAGGGATAAACGTTTGAAGGAAGAAGAAAATAATAGTTTTTGTTTTGAAAAGTACCGGCAAGTTTTTGTGCCTGAGACTCTGTAAGCACAGCTGCAAACCCAGAGAAGCCATGTTTGTAACTATAAACCATCAATTCTGAGGCTGCTTCCTTGCTGCACAATGATTAATAAATTAATGTAAACAAATACACACAAACTAGTATAGAATTTCTGCGTACATTTAATAGTAGCATAGATATATTGTTTTCTGGTTTTTTTTCAATTTGTACGTACCTTCCAACTATAGTTCCAAGCACGTCATGATGTGAATCTGTGATGAGATTTGGATCATCATGCTGTCTCTCTCCAAGATAAACAATGTGAACCTGTAGATTGAAAGGAGAATGTTTAAACGTATATACATATATGCATATGTCTCTGTAAGGTTCTAAATCCTTGAAACAAACAAATAAAGCTTACATACTTTGCTCTTGGCGACCACTTGTGTTGTAACGCAGCCCTGTCCAAAAAAGACAAAGAGAAAATGCAGTATAAGGAATGGAGTTGGGTTGCTCATATCGTCTCCTAGTGTATTTTAGACAGATGACGAGATCAGAAATTGAATAAGAACCTGATTGAGAAATCGCTCAATGGCTCTTATAAGATGGAAAGAAAAAAAAAATGAGCGTCGGGTTTATAATTTGCTTAGGAAGGCTTCAATATAAACACTTTGATTAAGTCAGCTGCAAGCCGAACATCATAAGTTGAAGATTCAATGATACCTAATCCTTCGCTTAGGCATGCCATTTCTTGGTTTGGCTTCAATGATACCTAATCCTCTTCCCACATGGTAAGTCGAGGATTCAATATATTGTTATGATAGTAATGAATGCATGTGTGTTGTCTTAATTACAAAAACAAATGTACATGCCCAGTGCCCACTGAATTGGCATTCAGAGCAAAGGTTTGGTGATAAAAGGGCATGCATGAAGCATTATAATACGAATACAATTGCAAAGCATTTTTTTCATTTTAGGAGAGGATTTAATGAAGCTAGCGAAAGAGAAGGGAATTATAATACGGTTTGTCATAGTCACAGGTCAGTTATGTCTAATATCGCTAGTAATCTGCATTTAACAAATTAATTTGCATCAGGGTGTTGGTCTTGTCAAAATATAAGAGACTAGATTATGTGCTTTACAGTGCAACTCGTGTTTTTTTAGATAGTTCAATTGAAGCTGAAGATGAACAACACAAGGATTTTCTGCGACTGCAGTGTTATGTTTGCGACTGCCTAAGATAAAGTTTACCAGTTTCACAAAGCTAGGATATGGGCGAAGAATGGGCTTCTATGCAATTTAAGGATTTGGAGTCATTGCATTCAAAAGTTATCAATACCCATGATCTGCTACTTTACAATTCAAAATGAATAAAACTTGCCTCTACATAGACGAGAAGAAACCTTCTACAAATCACTTACGTGGCACGATGACACGTTTCCTTTTTTAAATTTAAAATATGTAAAACGAAATAAAAGAAATCTTAACTTTTTCTCTTATATTCAAAATTCAAATGGACACATGTCATTCTGTCATTGTGCCACATCAGTGGTTTGAAAGAGGTTCCTTCTCACCAGTGCCATTCTGTCATGGAGGCTAGCATTTTTCATTTAGAATCTACCAAATGAAGTGCATTATCTTTGCTATGGATGTAACTAAAATAGTGTTATATTGCATTTGGAAGCTCAATTGAAAACGGAGAAACATAGTTCAAAACTTAAAGTAGTTTTTCTCCGATTTCAATTCCAAAGCACTAATTCTATGATATCACACATAGGTCAATCAAAACTCATAAGATTCCTAACTTTCTATAGGTTAATAAAATAATAAATTTAAAAAAAAATTAGAAGCTGACTACAAGTCATTTTAGCTAAGTGCTTGCAATCTGCATTATATAATAACAATAATAGACAATCCAACGGTTGAAGAAGTGATCTAAATTTTTCAATAAAATCCTAGAAGCCACTTTTTGTAATAATTTAAAACTTAAATGGGAATAAGTGACAATTTGAGATTTATTGCATAAAGTGTCATTTTTTATAATGAATTATTTTAGAATTAGACAAATCTACCCTTGTACATTATAAAAATCCCTAAAAATTGATAAGGGCCTAAAATGGTACTCATTAATCATTTGCACATAACAAAATCAATAAAACTCAATTATCATGCTTAGATCATCGTATATTTTACAGCAATAGTACATACATAGGAAACTAATCTACTAATCTTTTGGACTTACTGAAAATCTCTCTAAGACACGTGATAAAAAAAATAAAATAAATAAAAATAAGCAAATGGAAAACCCAGATCAGAAATTAAGAGTACCCAAAAGGCAGAGGAAGAGAAGAGATTAAACCTGGCACTGGGGACTCGACAGGGGATCTCAACTTGGAATTCAACAGGAAGACCCAGGAAAACATTGAAGCGATTGGATGTGACATGGGTGATGTGTTGTGTTGAACGTTCATGGGCCACCTGATTTCCATGTGATGAACGGTGGAGATGACTACCTCCCGTCGATCCACATCGCAAGAGACCATGGATTTTCTCAGAGCTAAACCAAAACCCTAGATTTCTCAAGCAATCTGTATAATCCCCTTACTTCTCTTTTCTTTATTACTATTATTATTACTCCGTTTTTTTTTTTTTTTTAAAGTTACAAGAAAGGCCTTCGGCCAAAACAGCCCACTAGAAGTAAACACAGCCCGAAGACAAACCCAACCCGAAGGCAAACTAAAACCCAAGCAACAGAACCAGCCCAGAGCTAGCCAAACCCAAAGCAAAAAGAACTTCATGTAGCAGTTGAAACCATTACATGAAGATCTTAAACACTGATCCGGTGACTAAACCTACGGCGATGGAGAGGTAGTCTCCATGAATCTCAGTCCTGTGGCCTCGGAGGAGATCTGCAACAAGATGGAGAAAGATTCCAGCTACTCGGAATCGATCTAGAAGCCATGCAATCCCTAAGACAACCCAGACGTAGGAGTGAGGTGATTGAATTGCAGACTTTAGCTAGAACCGTGCTCTGCGAATCTGATTCCCTCTGAAGATGCGATTGTTCCTCTCTTCCTAGGTGTGATATACCAATGCTGAAAGACAGACTTTCCTTAGAGTGTTGATTGGTGAGCTTGACTTCCATCGAACACTGATCCATAGAATTTTTTTTTTTTCCCCTAAATGATCCATAGAATTATTTCTTCCCAATTGTGAAAAGCTTTATGGAACCCGCATCTGTCTTGGATGAATTTCCAAAGAGGGGAAGAAAAGGTGCAGTTGAAGAATAGATTAACGTGGGACTCCGTTTCAGTATTGCAAAGGGCACAAACGTTATCATGGTGAGCCATGGCTCTGCAATCAAGGTTTGGAAGCCTGCCCTGAACAGCCAGCCACATGTTGAATTTCATTCTCGGGATGGAAGGTGTATGCCATACAAAGTTGTGCCAAGGAACTGTAGGACCATGATTTGATAGGTGGAAAGTTGTGTGCTTCAAGGTGAATGAACCAGAAGGGGACACAGACCAAATCAATTTGTCGTCCCTGAAAGCAGCAGGTTGTTGTAGAGAGAGGAGTTCAGGGATTGCAGAGGATAATTGAGGTGGAAAGCTCCAAGAATTGTTGACAATAAAGTGAGCCAGTTTTGTGTCTTCATGTATACCCAAAAAGGAGAGGATGGATGGTGGAAATCGAAAGCATAGAGGCCCTCCAGAGGACCAATTATCCAACCAAAATGAGGTATCATTCCTATCACCAATAATATGCTTGATAAAATGCCTTGCATGATATTTGAGTTGCAAAATTTTCCTCTAACTCCAAGAGCATGAGTGAGGGACTTTCAATAACCAGAAATTCCTGCCTTCGATTAGATGAATTCAACACCAATTTAACCAGATTCTATCTGTGTTATCAGTGTGAAGTTCCCAAATATATCTCAGGATAGCTGCATGGTTGGACAATTCTAGGTTGGGCAGACCCAAACCCCCTTCAACCTTAGGTTTGCACATTGCTTCCCAATTTATCTTTCCTCCATTGGATTTCATCTCTGGGCCATACCATAAGAATGATCTGAAAATCCTATTGACTTCATTGATAACACTCTTTGGAAGAATGAAGATGCTGGACCAATAAAGCTGTGTGGATACAAGGACAGATCTAACAAGCTGCAATCTACCTGCATAAGAGTGAGATCTTGCAGTCCAATGAGAGATTCTGTAAGTAATCTTCTCTATCAGTTCTCCGTATTTTCTTATTTGTGGTTACGTATGATATTTTTTTTTGGTTTTTGGTATTTGTTGTTGATTGTGGTTATGTATGATATTTTTTTATGGTCTAAGCATGAAAATGGATTTTACTATATTGGTTTGTGTGCAAATGATTAATGGGTGTTTTCAATATTATTTAATTATTTTATAATTTTTAAAGTATGTAGATTTGTGTCTCGTGTTGGCAGAGATTCGGGATTTGGGAGGTAAATTCTTAAATTCTAACTGCACTTTATTTTTTGGGTGAGGCCAAAATATATATATATATATATATATATATATATATATGTGAATTTGTCAAAGTACACTAATTCTTTATAAGAAGGTATTTATAAAATAAATTTTAATCGGTCATTTAAGTTTTAATAAATTTGATGACTATTTATTTTTTATTATTTCATGAGACTTGGTAATTGAAATTTAATTTTTTTCTAATAAATACCTACTTAATCTTCCTCCCTCCTGTCCTAATTTAATTGTCGACCTTTATTCTTGCCGGAATTTTTTTTTTACTACCCTTTGATAACTTTTAATATAGGGCGAATTATAAAAATCCCCTTTCGACTTTCACCCATTTGCAAAAAAACACCCCTTATGAATATATTTAACAATTAACCCCCCTCAACTATCATGAGGAGGTCATTTTAACTAAACTCTGTTAGAGTGATTGTGTGAGGAAAATTTTATGACAAAATTACCCTTAACATGAAACATCCGTTTGAGTAATTGCGTGATAAAATTTTTGGATGAAATTACCCTTAAAACTAAAGTACCCACCACTCATTATTATTATTATTTAAATGCATAAAATACTAAAATGAGGCATCTGATTTTGAAACGAGACCTTTGATTTTTTTCTTTCGAAATGTTCTTGCATTTGGACTACATATAGTAATATGATAGTTATTTATCAATTGTCAACTTAAATTGGTTTTGGTGTGAAAAAAAAAATCTTGTACCATGATTTTTTATAAAATAAGATAAAGAAAGAGATATATATACGAGAGATCCAAAAATATCAGTACTTGATTCTTTATAAAATTTAAAAGTAGAAATTTATCAAACTATGTGGCAAAATTATCTCATAATTAAGAGGAAGTAGCTTTTTTCATTTATATATATGTGTGTGTATGTGTGTACTATGTAGCATATCATAATTTAATAAAAAAATATTAGGATTAAGATTTATGATATTGAAAGAAATAAAATTTTATGTCATAATAAATGCTTTTTCTACAGAATAAATTAATAATTAAAGATAGTCTAAACAAATATTTGTTATTTAAGTGAAATGTCTTTTGACTATAAAAAAATAAAAAATAAAATGTGACGGCCCTGGTTTTTCAAGCCAGTGCGTCCTGTGATGAACCGAAATTTGATCCGATAACGGATCCGAAATGCGGAAGCAAAAACAGAAATAAGGTTTCTAGAGATATACAACATCCGTAGGACGCCAAAGTGACCTTCCATGAGGCCATGGAATTTCACGAGAATCGACTCGGAATAAAAGATCAGAAAAAGATCAGGAGAAACCCCCAAGGGTAAAATAGTCTTTCTACATGAAAATAACATCTTCTGAAAATGTACATCATTCCCAAGACACATTCGTGACTTCCCATGAAGTTACGGAACTTAAAAGAAAGCATAGCGAAAGCAATTTAAAAAGGAAAACTGAATAAGTTTAGCCCCAAGGACAAAATAGTCATCTCTGAAAAGATACAAGTGTTACCGAGCACACCAATGGATAAATAACGAAAAATTAATCAAGTTGATTAAAAAATCTCTAGATTTGGAATCCAGACGAAGAAGTTATGGCTTAATGACAAAAAACAAACAATAAAAGCCCTATGGGCAAATTGGTAATTTTTTAAAAAAATCCAAGTGTAACCGAGCACATCGTTAGATAGACGACGAAAAAATAATAAAGTTAAAAAAAAAAAATCATTTGAATTGGAGATCGAACGAGGAAAAAAATCCCAAAAGAAGAATCGACATCGCGGCGGCCCCACGATGGCGCCATGATAGCCCCCATGTGCGCGCAATGGGTATGTCGCGCGTGTCATGGCAGCCCCCTCGACATGTCTTGCTGACAACACACTTTTTGACAGTTTTTTGCTGTTCAATGGTCATTTCGGACCCTTAGATGAATTTTTTTTGTAAAATTACGAAGAAGAAACCCCCATTAAAATCGAATTTTCTAGTCGACCATGTCGAAAGAAAATTTTAAAACGCATTGTGAAATGTCTAAAATACCCCTGGATCGGTTTAGGCCAAAAACGAATAATTTTTTTTTTTGCACCGAGTGCTCATTTGACCCTAAATGTATTTCTAGGCTAAAATGATTATGCAATCAAACGTATTTAGTGATTTTAAGCGCACGGGAATGGTCCACGGCTCCCAAAAATGGTCGATGCAAAATACGACCTATCAAAATTCAAAAATGCCTAAAATGAACTTTAAAATAAAAATTTGAAACTTAAAATCGTAAAAGTATTTCAAATGACCGTTTGACCCTTGACCAAACTTCATGCATGATTCAAAAGACCCTATGGAAGTGTTAAAATCCACTTCCCACCACCCATGCAAATGTAATGGAGTTAAAGCATTGCATTTTTCTATTTTTTAACAAAATAGCCTTGAAAGTAAAAGTACTCAGAATGTAAAATAAATGTCCATGGCCTATGACTTCATTTCATACATGTCAAATATATCAAAAAATGTGTACTTATGAGCACATTACATATTTAGAACTAAATATACAAGTTTTACATTTTAAATCAAAAATAGCATTTCATGCTAACATTTGCATGAATCCAAATACTTCAAGCCTACATAACATCCAAAGCATGATGTGCATCCCAAACCATGGTTCCTATACCTGAAAAATGTTCCCACTACGTGGGTGAGTAACATAAAGCTACTCATAGGAGATGAGCATGCATAGACCTAACGTTTTACTATTCATTAAATTGATATAAATCAATATAAACGGTCCATGCCACCTAGCGTTTATGTCCAAGGTGAGACTTAAGGAGCATCCTAAGCTACCTTAAAGCATTTTTAGCATAAACCTTATCATTCATGCAATTTCAACAACATAAAAGCATGCGGTACAACGCAACAAGATAATCAATACACAAGTATACATATACAAGTATACAATCAATATTGAAATGCACTAAAGACAAGTATACAAGACACAAGTATACTAGGTTATCTCGAATGTAAATCATCAATATACAATTGTACATACCCAGTACACTAAGCAATATTAAAAAAGAAATACAACGCATTATAAGTATACATTCACAAGTATAATAAGCAATAATAACATACATGGCATACAAATATACAAACTCAAGTATACTAAGCATTATTGATATACAAGGCGTACAAGTATGCAAATCCAAGTATACTAAGCAATAATGAAGTATCATGCACTAAAGCACAAGTTAAAAGTAATCCACAATTACAATTAGGAATTGAATGCGAAATCAACAATTGGCGGAAAGACAAAGGACATAAGGTTTCAATGACCAAGCAAGTGATTCCGGGTTACTAGCCTGCAAGGTATTACCTAGTGCGCACTATATGTTATAGAGGGAATTCTTATCCTCCATACTAGAGCCATGCCCTAACCATAACATATTCCAATGTTTAGACAAGATTTTTTAAAATCATCAAGTTGTAAAACACAGTGAACGAAAAAGAACCGAAATGAAAAAAAGTGAACAAGGGAAGAAACGGTGTTGAGAACCGAGTCTTGTGCAGAAAGATATGCCCCGAACAAGTTTGACGGCAATCGGGGTCAGAAACCCTAAAACTGGGAAAAACGACTAGAAGACAATTCTAAGAGTACGCGACTTGACGAAAAGTGAAAATGAATCTCGTACGAGAATTCAGGCTCAAAACGAGGCATTTTGCAATAACTTTCGTTAATTATACAATGACCCATACAAAAAGGGATAACTGCAAAACTGACCCAGAATGAAAAAAGATATTTCTTAAAAACCCCTGATCAAAATATTTTCAAAAGATATTTATGAAAAATACCCCAAGAAATATCAATGTTCCTGAAGAATCCTTTCATCCACGCCTCTACGGGAAAAAGGAACAACCGACGAGTTTTTCTCCAAAAGTAAAGCTACGCGTTTCGAGGGAATCAACTGGAATGAAAACTCGTGAAGTCAAAACTCAACTCCGAATACGAAAAGTGAGGTTATGCCAACAAATTGACAAACGGGAAAAAGACGAAAAGTGCATACTGTCGAAAAACGAAAAAAGTGAAAATGACGCGGTCCCTCAAGGAAGTTGTCAATCCAAAGGAAAAAGTCTTGGAAACCACTTCTGATCACTCGAGACGACACTAAGTGATGAGAAACCAAACTCAGAAAAGAAAATTCAACGGAAAAAATTTATCCGAAAAAATCTGAGAAAAATGACATAAAAAAACAAGGGTAAAATATGTTTTTTTTTTGGGGGGGAGGGGGGTTCCTCTACTGGATTTTTTTTGGGTATGCTATATCCATAATTTTTTAAAATCTTATAAATTTCTACTTTTAAATTTTATAAAAAATCATGGTACTGATATTTTTGGATCTCGTATATATATCTCTTTATTTATCTTATTTTATAAAAAAATAAAAAAAAATCATGGTACAAGTTTGTTTGTTTGTTTTTTTGTTTTTTTTTTTTTTCATCAAAATCAATTTAAGTTGACATTTGATAAAAACTACCATATTATTATATATATTCCAAATGCAAGAACATTTCGAAAGAAAAAATCAAAGGCCTCGCTTCAAAATTAGAGGCCTTATTTTTGTGTTTTATGCAATTAAAAGAAAAAAAAAAGTGAGTGGTGGGTACTTTACTAATAGTAATGTATTGTTTTGATTCTATGGGTAATTTTGTCCTAAAATTTTTCTCACATAATCACTCTAACAGAGATTAGTCAAAATAACCCCCTCATGATAGTTGAGGGGGTTAATTACTAAAAATATTTATAAGGGGGTTAATTCCTGCCATATGTTGATGGCAGGAAATCAAGGTGAATGAATAGTTCATTTTCCTTAATAATAAGACAAAACAATGAATGATTGGCTAAGGTATTATTTTTTCGGGATACTCAATGTCTAAAATGCTACTACATGATTTTCACCTTTGAAAAGTTAAATTCAGAAGCAAATAAATGCATTAAAAATGTCTAACTTTATAACTTACTCTTTCAAACTTGAAATGATAATTTAATCATTTTACAATGGAATAATGCATTAATTGCACATTTGCACATCCCTTAAAAGTCTCACTTTGTAATGTTTGTATAAGTGCATATGCCTATATATTTGTGTGTGTGTGTGTGTGTGGTGTACTTTAACAGCAAAAGAAAAAGGAAAAAGAAAAGAAAAAAAAAAATGTGGGACCCACGCCCTTTTTAAGTAGATTGTGAGACCACATTTGGTCTCTGCCTTCTCACTCTCTCTTTTTCCCGTCTCTGTCTCTCTGTTTCCTCTTAGCATTTTCTTTCGTTTTTTTTTATTTTCCAAAGTCAAGGCTTGATTTCTCCCTCAATTCTTAGTATTTTTAAGTGCCGTTTATTGCAAAACGGAGAGTACGGCGAGCTCTACATGTGTGTACCAGCAATTTCAGTTTTGTGCAACCTAGGAGTCCGAAAATCTTAACCCATTTTGAGGGTTTGTGGTGCAAATTGGGGTTTTTTGAATAACATAGAGATAGGGGTCTCTAATTCCTACAATCTTGTTCCTTTGTGAATTAATTGTTCTTGATTAGTGTCTTAGCATGCTAAATTGTGATGATTGTTCCTTTGTGAATTAATTTTTCTTGATTAGTATTCTAGCATGCTATATTGTGATAATTGTTCTTAAAGTGACTTGATTGTATATATGAAATATGTGAGAATGTGTATTTAATTGAATTATAATGTGTATTTAATTGAATTGTATGAAAAAAATAATAATAATAATAAATGAAATAAAATAAAAAAAAAACATGCTTAATGTGTTAGTTTTCCATGCCAATTAATTTGTTAGAAATTTATATGAAAGCTTGTTAATTGGGTGTTAAAAATTCTCTCCATTTCCATAAATGCACATAAGCATTGGGCATCAAAGAAAAGGGAAAGTGTTTTGAAATGAAATTGAAAAGGGATTTTGGGGAGAATTTGATAAAATGGTTTTTTGAGAAAAATCAGGTCGCCGCGGAGTCACCAAAGGGTCGGTGTGTTAATATAGCCTAGAGGGAACTAGGGAGATTGCCCTAGCGTGGTTGAGCTATCTGGGCCCCAACTGACGCTGCGGAGGTACCAAAAGTCAGGGACAGTAGCCAATCCTTCTCTCGTGTCGCTGCGGAGTCACCAAAGGGCGGGTTATATTAACATTTTGTGAAGTGATAATATTTTTCTGAAAATGGAGAGTGACATGCATAACATTGCATTCATGACACGAGATTTATTTGCTTTGAACTTAGAATTGATATTGTGTTTTCCTGGCTTTGCATGACCCCAAATTCCTATTGTCCTATTCCTTGTTTGGATTCACGGGAATACAAGAGGTATGTCTTAGATACCACCTACTGAGCAATTTTGCTCACCCCTTTTATTTAACATTTTTTTATAGGAAACGGGAAAGAAGTGGCGGATGACATTCAACCACAGACTTAGTATGGATTAGGAGCTTATTTTGTTGTTTTTTGTACTTGGGTCACTCTATTTTTGTAAGACTAAGCATAATGTACTTTGTACGATGACTTATGAACTTTGAATATTATAATTATACCTATGGGCTTGTAAAGCATAGACATTTGATCTTAATCTTGTATTTTGGGACTGTGATTATGATACTTGGATGATATAGTGTGTGGTTGTACCACCATGAAATGTATTAGATGTTTATTGTGTTAGAACAGGTTAAAAATGCTTTTAAACAGGTTGTTGTAGGACGATTTTTAACGGAGGTTGTGCCGAAATTTTTTAAAAATTTTGGCATCAGTTAAGGTCGTTACACACTCCCTGCAATGGACTATTTCTATTTTTATGGGACAAAGGAGTCTATACATATATCAAAAAAAATTACTTTAATAATGGTTATATATCCTATATGTTTCCTTAATTTGTAATTGAGTATTTGCATCCGATGTTGTGTTTAGTATCAAAGCAAAATCACGACCCAAGATGCAATTGATACTTTGTTTATCAGCTGTATTAAAACTATTTGATAGGATGATTTTGGTTATTCAACAGTTCATTCCTTCGTGAAATGGAATTACTGGACACTAGTTTTGTATGGCAGTGGTAAATTGGATTGTGCAAAAAAAAAAATCATATATTTGCTGCAACAAAATCTGGCGATCCAAATTGGACAAGCTTATAACCCACCATGCTTGATTGAAGACACATTGTAACATTGTAACATTGTAACAATTGCTTCATCTGAAAAAGGTTCTTACAACCAGTTCAATATTGTAAGAATTCCGAAAATTAACATTAATCATAGACACATATAAATGACAATCCAATGATTTTCAATTTTTCAAAATAAAATGAGATTGTATAACCTTTACTCTTCAATTTTCATTAACATAAGATTGTATGATCTCTGCTCTCACAGAAACCGGACTTCTCACAGCATGCATTTCATTGGTCCAAGTTAGGCTCCCAAAGTAGTAACCTGTGTTCATCTGATGGATTGATGAGACTGTAACTTTGAAGGACATCTTCTTGGTCCTAGAATTGAAGGCCAAGACACTAGGTCTTACTGATAGGATGGTTCCCACAGGAGCCTCAATCACAGCTCTATATACAGAATCAACCGGTCCTACATTCGTGACAGTTCTGGTCAAGGTGGTGGAGTTTCTGAGACTTGGTATGGTTATGGATGGTACGTTTACATCGAGAATGGAGGGTCGGTTGCTGGAACACAATGCGGGTTGTCCTATAAGCTGAGATATGGAAGAACTGTTGTATCCCATAGCACATAGGTATTGTATGTAACAGGCTCTGTCCATGTCATATACCAAACCGGGGTCTGCTGCACCATTCGGGTTCACAATGCCGCCTCCAAAATCAAATGGATCAGCAAGCTTTCGAGGGGAGCCCTCAGCAAAGATTGGATAACCATACTGACTAGTCCTCCATGCTGCATTAAGACTTAGATCAGATAATTGAATAGGTAGTCTCAAGCAATTTAAAATTAGATCAGAAAAATAAGTACTACTACACATTTTGACAGACAAAAATGATCAGAATGGTAATACCTGTAGTGACAAGTGCTGATTTTATTGCTGCAGGGGACCAATCATGGTGAAGTGCTTTGAGAAGGGCTACAATGCCTGCGACATGAGGAGCTGACATTGATGTTCCGGAATGCAGGGCAAATCCGTGGTCCTCAAATGGGTCAAGGGGAGAAGAAGCAGCTAATATATTTACACCAGGTGCAGCTATATCTGGCTGTGGCACAATGAAGAAGCGTAGTAGTATGAGACAACTTGAATACCATAAGTGGCGTCAATTCAGTTTTAATCTTCTTAGTTAGCCATGTCTAGAATTATAGATTACTCTTTCAATTTTGTCAATGAATGAGCCGAGGTTTAGAGTGCCATTCTTATGGGATCATACACTAGGTTTTTTAGCTCAGTTCAACTAGAAGCACGTATTTAGGAGACATGTTTGTGCTTGTGACTCTGAATTGAGCTCTAGGTTGGGGCTGGTACCAGGCTAGAGTTTGAGGAGTTGGCTCAACCTCAATGAAGCTCTGTCTATCCCACCCAACCAGATTGACTAAATTATTCCAAAACTATAGAGGTCTTCACAATAAAACTATAGAGTACCTTGAGAATTGCAGGCGCTATAGAGTTAGGCCCTCTTGATGAAAAGTAAGCCACATTAGCTGACACGGACTTGCCCACAAGAGTTCTGGAAGGGCTCAACTTTACTGCCGGAGAACTGTGTGCACCAGTTGACAAACCACCATTCAATCATTGCACGGACCTATTGAATTGATGATGATCATCAAGATGGAAAGAATGATAGAAGACAATACCTTGTAGAACGAATGTAATATAGAATCTGCGTCCCAGCCGTGTAGTCAACTTCAATACATGGGAAGTCATTGCTGGTGCACGGATACAAGGCATCACTGGGGTTCTTGGCGATGATAACCCCAATGCCACCAGCTGCTCTCACTGCTGATGAAGCATTTGAAACTGCAATTCTCCGAGACACAGAAGTGAAACACAGCACCACCTTTCCAGTTACTGAAGATTGATTGAGTGACAAAGCTTCACAGGCACTGCAAGGGAGCCAAACAATGATAAATCAAGTACTGCATTAGTTAATGCTTAATGTAACAACTTCAAGACGTAAAAAAATGTACTAATTAATATGATATCTTGGGAGTACCCTGCAGATGTAGTTGCAAGCCCTTTGGACTCGGGGTATAGCAAACCTGTGAAACCAATTTCCTTTCCAGTATAAATCGCGTGACCCTGCAGCAACAATTACAAAAATAAATCAATGACTACCATGCTCTTGTGCCTAAAATTATTGGAGCTAACTTGATGAATCAGAATGTAGTCCATATGAGTATACCAGTATAGTTTTGTTGTTTCCAAGTGTGATGGGTGTGGGAAATGCTCGATCCATGGTGCTAGCTGCAACGGTTAAAATCCATGGTGCAGTGTTCTGCACTGTCTGTGCCAAAGGTCCGTCATTTGCACCTGCACAAACAACAGTGATACCCTTGGCCACGGCATGGAAAGAGCCTGTGGCAATCCCATCACGATCATCAACGTCTGAGAATAGAGGAATAGAAGATCCAATTGAAAGCGACAACACATCTACCCCATCATGTATGGCTTCATCAAAGGCTTTCAGGATATCAGCAGATGAACATTGTCCTCCAAGCACATTCCAGCACACCTTGTACACAGCCAACCGGGCATTAGGTGCACCGCCTCTTACTGTCCCTAGAGCGAGGCCCTTGTAACTGACATTGCCCACAAAAGAACCACCTGCAGTGCTGGATGTGTGCGTGCCATGCCCATTTGCATCTCTTGGTGAGAAGTATTCCTTGTCATCTGTTCTGTTTAATGGCTGTCCATACTCAGCAAGAAATCCATTAATGTACCAGCGAGCTCCAATGACTTTTCTGTTGCAGTGTGTCTTTGGATTGAATTGTTCTCCGGATTCACAAACACCCTTCCACTGGGACGGTATAGGCCCCAGCCCTTCATCACTGAAAGCTTTTGACTCGGGCCAAAACCCTGCAGGTTGATTTACATATTTAGTCCTTCATTAACATAACACACATTCACATACAAGAGAAGAAGAGAGGTGTGTTGACCTGTATCAAGGACACCTATGATGACTCCATCACCCATATTACTTTTTTGAAGAATATTGTTAGGGGTCTGAGAGGAGAGACCCAGGTAATCCCAGCTCCTGGTTGTCTGCAGCTTGTAAAGGGAATTTGGTATGACACGAACAACACCCGGAAACTCTGAAGTACATGAATTGTGTATATAAGGTCAATCTCAAACACTGTTTACTACAAAAAGCTTAAGCTATTAAAGAGGGTATAATTTAAGTACTTATATTTAAGTAATTATTCAGAGACAAGTTCATTTATAGAGAATGAAATTGCGTCATAGTCCCCTGAGACATGGTGTAGTCATGATCATTCATTTAATTTGAAGGAAGGTGAAAATAATAGTTTTTTGTTTTGAACAAGTACCGGAAAGTCTTTGTGCCTGAGACTCTGTAAGCCTAGCTGCAAACCCAGAGAAGCCATGTTTGTAACTATAAACCATCAATTTTGAAGCCGCTTCCTTGCTGTACAATGATTATTAGATTAATTTAAACACATCTACACAAACTAGTATAGAAATTCTTGGTACATCTACACAAACTAGCATAGATATGGTACGTACCTTCCAACTATAGTGGCAAGCATGTCATGATGGGAATCTGTGATGAGATTAGGATCATGATGCTGTCTCTCTCCAAGATAAACGATGTGAACCTGTGGATTGAAAGAAGAATGTTTAATTATATATACACACACATATAAGCATATGTCTCTGTAAGGTTTCTAAATTCTCGAAAATCCGGGTTGTGTTGTACAGATGAACAAATTAAGCTTTACATACATTGCTCTTGGCAACCACTTGTGTGGCTATGAAGGCCTGCCCGTAGAAAACAAAGAGAGAACACAGTACATATAATGGAGTTGGGTTGCTCATATCGTATCCTTGCGTGTTTGAGATAGATAATGAAATCAGAAACTGAACAAGTGCCTGATTCAGAAATCACTCAATGGCTCTTAGAAGACGGAAATTTTTTTGAGACACACCACAAGTTATGTTTGTTGGATGTATTATGACCAGTACAGTCGTCGGCTAGAAGTTTGGTAAGTTCATGGGAACCTACGAAATTAAAAGTCAAATTTTTGCACATATTACTTTTTCATATATGATGTGCGTGTTTGTCTGTGTGTGTGTGTGTGTATATATATGTGTGTTTGTGTTTGTTTTTTTGAGAATTACAATTGGATGACACTTCAAAGTTTTAATCTGTGCAAGTTGTACAACCACACAAGTCATAATAACTTAGACGCTCCAATCAGTAGAAAGCAAAATATATAGCTTCAAAAGGGCTTCATTTTTGGAGATTTATTGTACTCTAAGCACTTCAGTTACAACAAGCTATTAATATTCTTCAGATGAAAAATACACATAAGGATGAAAAGTTAATAAGAAAGAAAGGACAGCATGGATGGTTAGCTAATTAGTAGATAAGTTGTTTTCTTGATCATATGATTGGGGGCACAAATGGTAGAAGTCTACTCCATTAATATTTTGTTCACATTAAAAGAAAAGTATTCTTGACTAAATATGTTGGTTGACTTTTACTATTAGAATGTTTTTAATTTGATTTGAATTTTGCCGAGATGGGGATGATGACACATGACCTTCCATGTTTGGGGCCAAAGACAAATCTCTATCTGTCTCTGTCTGAGTCTCTCTCTCTCTAGATGCAATAGCCTAATGTGATCATGAAATTTTCCATTATGAACAATCACCTAACAAAGAGAAAGGAAAAGGAAGAACAAAATCAAAGACTCAGGACATGTGACTATTACTTCACAAATTCACAATCTTCACAAACTAGTTAAAGTAACATAACCCAAAAAAAATTGTATCCCTTTCCAGAGATTGTGCAAGGAGAATGAGTTTGCTTTAAGATAATGTGCATCAACAGGCAGAATCCTGTATATAATTTGGTGAGGCAGAATTTAATATAAACATGTTGGTTTGGCGCCAATAATACCTCATTTTTCTTCCCATATGGTAAATAATGAATGCATGTGTATTGTCTTGGTTACAAAAAGAAATGGACATAGCCCATAAATTGGCATTCAGATCAAAGGGTCAATGATAACACGGCTTGCATAAAGCATTATAATGTGAATACAATTCCAAAGCAGTTTTTTTTTCAATGGTTAAAGCACTAAAGCATAAAGTTTGTTCCAATGGAATGCATGAACCTACAAAATTTGAAACCAAAATATAAAATTCTACAATTTCAACATGTTTGACTAACATATTTGGTATGAAAAATCTAATGAGAGAATATTTCACCGTAACTAACTCTTTGTAGGGACGATCAAAACATAAAAGTTTAAGCAAACATTTTTATATTCCCTCTCACCTGCACTTGGACATCAATCTGGTGCGCATTTGGCGTCACTTCCGATTAAAGATTGGACCTGCTCTGATACCAGGTTTTAGGTGGTGCTCCATACTTGCCCCTGTATGTCTTCCATCTCCAGTCGGATCCAATGTGAAATAAGAACACTCCAAAAAATATATATATATATATGATAAATCTTTGATTCTATTGGAGGATTATGTGAGAAGTCTGCATTTCCAATTCCAATGACAAATTAACAAGATGCCAAACTCAAATCGATTTCACAAATAAATGACCAAAACTCAAACATCTCATGCTTAATTTGACTCGATTCATTTTGAATCGTATGCCACTAGGTCCACTAGTAACGCCGCTTGGCGCTTGGTGGACCACTTCTTGGGTTTGAGGATATGGATCGGTATTGTTCACTACCGAAAAGAAGAAATAAAGGTTTGGACTCATTCACATTGGACACTGACAGACCAAGCCCAATGTCAGCCCCAAAGAGATGAAGATGGGTTGAGCTCTGTTCAGCCCAAGCCTGTGTTGATATATAAATGAAAAGATAATAGGACATTGTTTATTAGTTCCTGCCTTTATCGGGTCACTTTTAGAGAATATTTTTCGGTATTTTTTTATGGTAAGTTTGATTTGTAAAATTTAATAAAGTTTAAAAAAAATGGTAAAGCAAAGAAATGAAAAATAATTAGTTCAGCCCAAGCCTGTGTTGATATATAAATGAAAAGATAATAGGACATTGTTTATTAGTTCCTGCCTTTATCGGGTCACTTTTAGAGAATATTTTTCGGTATTTTTTTATGGTAAGTTTGATTTGTAAAATTTAATAAAGTTTAAAAAAAATGGTAAAGCAAAAAAATGAAAAATAATTTCTTTGGCGTCTTTTTCTAATGCTCAAATGTGATTAGGACTTCAAGCATAAGGAAACAATAAAAAAAACAAAAGTGTAAAGTAGAATTAAACTTTTTTTTTTTCTTCCTTGTTTTCAATTTATATTATTCCCTCTGCTATTTGTTACAGTGAGAAGGTGACGAATAACCGAATGCTTACAAGAAATTCTTCTGTGACATGGACCACATGATGGTCCTCACTTTGTATGCTTATACATTATAATTGATTGTCTACTTATAAATTATAATTGAAAATTTGAAAGTGAGTGTGTATGCAATTTGAATTAGTTATCCATAACTAATCTTATCGTGAAACTATCAGAAAATGGATTCAAAATCACACCAATCCATGTATAAAGAAATAAATTAAACCGACCACAATAATGAACGTGTTTTAATGTCACTTGTATTTGATTAAATATATGACATACAAAGCAATGTAAAAGTGTAAGTCGTTAGATATTACGGTATATCATCCTTATAAGTGTGAGAATTATCTCTCTTTCGTTCAATGGGTGACATAAAACACAAGAAGAATAAAAATAATTTTATTTTAAAAAATTAAAAATTCAAGTAACTTGTAAGAATAAAAGAATGAAATACAAAAATGACACCCATTTATAATTAGGGTCTTATTTATATATGACTGAGTCGATAAGGAATATACCAAAACATATACGATATAATCTAAATATTTGGAATTTGGGTGGGTAGAAGGGTAGAAGATATGTTTTACATAAAAAAATGAACTGTTCTTTTACACTTCTAGCCTTCTCAGCCATGGAATGGGAGTGGAAATGAGGTTGACTAGAGGCTAATAATGCCTTCCTTCCTCAACAAGGATCCACTGTGGCCCCACCGTTTTTACTCATGCGTAATGATTCGTGTATGGCCAATATAATAAGATGCGAAAAAAGCATCGTCATTAACTTTCTAAATAAAGAAGATGCAAACCAAAATACTCTCCAGTTAAACAAACGAAATCCAGGATTCAGAACCCGTGACCGTGAGAGGTCTAGGGGGCGGCCATTGGGTGATACAGATCGAGGTGTTCTCCATTCCATCACGTCCGCCTGTCCCCACAAGTCACAACATCCCCCAATATCTCCCTCTCTATATATGTGTGTGTGTGTGTATATATATATATATATATATATCTCTATTCTGCTGAGACTTTTTGATATGACACATCGTATCTAAATTACGAAACTGTCCTCCACCCTTTGGGTCGTCCTTGCTTCCAAATTTGAATTCTGCTGCAGAGCCAACTTCACTTTTTGCCTTGGACCACTCTACCCTTTGTCTGCGTTGGTCATGCCTTTTTCTCGCATAGTCACGGGTTTTAATAAAATACTAATACTTATAAATCAAAAAATACTCCATAAAGTGGAAATTACTTTTCTTACTTTCAAATTTTTTTTTTTTATTTGATAAATTACACCTGCATCTCTTATAATTTGATCAAATTAAATGAGAGTAAATTATTCAGCGTTTATTAATTTAAACTGCTTTGAAATTTGGTACGTGTACTTGAGGACACTTCTAACATATTCTTTTCGACAAAGAAAATATTCTTTTTGACAACTTCTAAATCGAGAACATATTTTTTTTTGACAACTTTGATGACACATTTTAAATTGATCAAATTTTATAAAATGACAATCCAATGGTTCTTTTTTTATATAAAATACAATATGATATATTCATTCATGGGAAAAAAAAAATGATATGTTATTATAATATATGAGCATTACTGACTTTTCATATTCGAAATCACTTTTCCCTATTGTTGGTTAATAGGTTTAGAAGAGGTTAAAATAATAAAGTTAAACGGTCTATTAATATGTAATTTGCTCAAATTTTAAGAAATGTTAGTATAATTTATCTTTATTTTTCGTAAAAAAACAAAAATAATTTTTTCTCAAATAAGGCGGAATCACTGTTCATGAAACTAAAGATGTTTTTGATTTGTTATTTGCACTTTTACTTTTTTGTTTCTCTTCTTTTCTATTTTATTCCTCAAAACATTCATTAATTTATGAATCAAAAATCAAGATTTAGATCATGTCAAGTGTGTTGTGTTGTGCGATCAAAGAGCAAAGTTAGTTTTATCACTGCAAGAGTGTTTTGTAATTTGAATGTCAGTTTGTTTCGCTTACGTGATATTGCAAAAGAAATATTAGAATTAAACCTTGTATTTAATGTAATTTTATATAAATAGTAGTGTTTTCACATTTATATTTTTAAACTAACGTTACTACTACACTTGTACTAAATAATAATTCCTATCTACCATATGCATCATATAAAATGCTATATCGTGCAAGAATGGACAAGTATGCATGGGTCAATGAAAAAATTACTTCTTTATATCAAATTGGGATTGCTGCAACTAACCAAATGTTGTGAGAATATTAGATGATGCAAACTGTTCTAAAATGAAATTGCATTTAACCTAAAGGTTGCAAGGTTTTGCTTATTATTTTCTTAGGTCATATTGAAATTCAAATAAATCAATCGGTTCACAAGTCAAATTATGATGACATACGAATATAGTGTCATTCAGGAAGGACTGAGTAAGGGTAATAATATTAAAATTTTATAGATATATAATATAATTTTAAAAAGAAAATAATCACCGTGTGGAGCAATTGTCCCACTGCCAACATGCTAGGTCGGTGCCTAGTGTTATTTATTTCTATTTTTAAGGGATTTGAGCTTACGCATTTCATTTTTAAAAGTAGAGATATCACTACATATATAGCCCTTTATGATTAGGACTGTTAATTTTCAAATTGCTTGCTTGTATGCATAAATAAGTGGAACAATATATAAAATGGTGTCACCTAATCATTATTTATAATATATGTTAGTTTAAATAATTAACAAATTCAAAGGTTTTGAGAAAATTTTATTTTTTGTGAAGATAACTACATATAAGTAAATATGTCAGTTTTGTTACACTTTTTGTTTATGTGATAATACATAATTAGCTGGGATCAATGGTCCCAGAACTCGGCAATAATTTCTCGAAGAAAAGAGTCAAGACAATGTAAAGAAAAGAGAGACAAAGCTGAGTAATCGAACATGTCTGGGAACTGTGTTGTCTAAGTGGTTGGGTTACTCCCTGTGTCTAGGAATCTGTGTTCTACTCTCTCCCTCTTCTCTAACCACTAACCCTTAACATTCTTATTCAAAAAAAAAAAAAAAAAAAAAAAACAGGGACATAAGTTTTTGACATGTTTTTTATTAGTATTTTTTATTTTTATTTTACCAAAATGTTTTTTTTTTTATAAAAAAAAAAGTTAAATATGAGATTTTTACATGTTACTACTAGGTTTTAGGGCATATAATTTTTATTTTTTATTTTTAACATATAAATGATCCAATCAGTGGCTAAGCTTATAGTCTTTTGATAGGCTGACTGTGGTTAGAAAAGATGTTCCACTGTGCAGACAAGTACAATTATATTGTTATACTATACCATTCAAGAATAAAAATTCCAAATTCACCGAAAAAAAAAGAAAAAAAAGAAGATAACAGTACTGCTTAAAGAAAAAGGGAAATTACATTGATTTTTCTAAATAAATCATTTTTTTAAAATCATTGCAATACTACTTTAATTAAAATTATAATTAATTTTTTTTTTACAAATTATTACATTATTGCATAAGTCTTTCCTTTCTACTGTAATGAAGGCACAAGTCGTTAATATAAAAGAGAATGTAAAATTTTGACTAATTTATGTAAATATTGTGATAAATAAACTTTACAAAATGTTGACTATATAATTTTTGTGCAATTCTTTTTCAAATAACTAGATTCCAATTTTGATAATGCAAAAAAGGGCAAAAAAGAAGAAGAAAAGAAATAAAGAAAAGAAATAAAGAAAAGCTTATAGTAAGCTACTGAGCTATGATGAGGGGGAAGAGGGGGGAGAGGAGAGAATTAGGGTCAGTTTGGTAGGATGGGTTTGAAGGGAAAGGGAAGGGAAGGGGACGGAGGGTAATAAAAAAATTGTGTTTGGGTAAAGTTAGTGGAGGGAAAGGGAAGGAGAGGGAGGGGTTTGGAGGGTTATTTATAAGCAACGTACAGTAATTTTTTAACCTTCCAAAATTGGGAGGATAAGGAAGGAAAGGGAAGGCAATGGCATACAAAATATTTGTTAGGCCAATTTTACCCTCAAATTTGCTCTTCATATTAGGGCCTGTATTCAGCGCGGGAACAAAGGAAGGCGTATATTCAGCGCGGGAACAAAGGCGCCAAAATTCACTGGTATAAGAAGAAATAGGAGAGAGAAAAGGGGGAAGTGGGTTCACGTATGGGAGAGAGAGAAGGGGAAGTGGGTTCACTGCATGGTCTCTGTGCCGGAGGAGGAAGTTGATGATAGATATAGAAGGGAAAGGTTTGTAACGGCTCCTTAAATTTCCTAAATCCATGCTCTCGGCATCTCCAAGAAGAGCCGCCTCTAGAAATAGGTTGAGCCGGCTCCTTTATTTGCCTGCATACACCAACTCTCGGGATTTCTCAAATGCCCAAGAGAGCCGGCTCCAGCAACTACTTGAGGCGGCTCCAAAAAAAATGTGGAGCCGGCTCCACAAAAAGGAAGAGCCGGCTCCACTCATCTACATCCTTCCTATTTCACTCGGCACCTCTCAAAAACCCATAAAAGCCGGCTCCATGATCATGGTTGAGCCGGCTCCCTTCAAGTGTCCTATTCCCATTATATCTCGGCACTTCCTAATTTGGGGTCATTATTGAAACATTCCAGAGAGCAAACTGACTTAGGAGACTTCATCTTGCTTTGGGCGAATTCTTCCATATGATGGGTTCCTTCACTGGTATGTTAAATCCATGAAATTCCCTCTTCAATTTATATATATTCCTGCTCTTAATTTTTAGTCGAAATTAGCACAAACATAATTCATTATAATATCTTTTGGTGTCTTTGATTCTTTTCAGTTGAAGATATGGTATTTGCAAGAAATTGGTGGATCTGTATGTTCGATCCACTTCATGCCTTGGGTTGTTAAGTTTTTTTTTTTTTTAAAATAAAGTCAGAAAGAACCTAACTTACTGTTTTATGTTGTTGATCATCATTGATTACATTTGTGATCAAACCCCTCTCACCCAAAAAAGTAAGAAGCCAAATTTAAAGATTAAATTAATGATCATTTTTTTACTTTTCTCTGTTGTTACTTGCTTGAAGGAAGATCTAGTAATTGGGAGCCTGCTCTACTCATATTGGAGCCTCCTCTACTTAAAGTAGAGCCTGCTCCATTCATATTGGAGCCTCCTCCACTTTTACTTGAGCCGGCTCCTTTTATAAGATTTGATACATTAAAGAAGATCTACACTAAACTATATTGAGGAGACTATAGTTTAAGCAACCATCATTGGGTACAAATGCAGCTATCTTCTTCCCATTCTTAATCAGCTGCACACGAGCAGATTTTCTCATGGCAAAGTTGGGCTGCTTAGCCTCAATACCACTGCATAAATTAGTTAAGTGCTGTTGAGTTTTGAAATATTGATTTGGAAAGAGAAGATGAATGTGGCATTTGCTACCAAACTGAGCCTTAGAACCGAATCTTGGGGCAAAAATATTGTTGCGTATTTAAATCTAAAAATTTATCTTTTAAAATATATAAAGGGCATAATAGTAAATTTTTTATTATCCTTCCCTTTCCTTTCTTTTCCCAAACATGATTGTTATCCTTCCCTTTCTTTTCCTTCATTAATCAACCAAACACGATTGAGGATTAAACTTATCCTTCCCTTCCCTTCCCTTTCCTTCCCTTTCCCTTATAACTAATGTTATCCTCCCCCTTCAAACCCATCCTACCAAACATAGCCTTAGAGAAAGGGTAGTGGAAAAACTGGTACAGTAATTTGGTGAAGAAAAAGGGGTACTTTTGGTAGGGAAAGGCTGTCGTGACCTTTGTCATTCCATAGTTTACGAATTTATTGAGATTAGGCAATGAAATGGTATATAATTACAAGTCGCCCATCTACCTGGGCCACTCTACATGGGGTCGAGAGGGGCATTTCCAATTTGATTCCCTTTCTAGGACAAATCAATTGGGTGTTTTCAGACCTCCTTGCGCTCTTTTCTGTAATCTGTACCTCGTTTAAGAACTGTTCTCTCTAATGGACTCGTCATTTGGTCCCTCTCTTCTGTAACACTGTCTCAACACAGTACCTTCAAGGGTAAGAGAGCTTTGCTTAAAGACGAAGCTTGTGTTGATTGAAAATGGGGTTGATGCTTGGGACCAGACAATCACACAAGGCTGGTGCTGGTTCTGGTATATCTACAAGATGGGTCTCAGTGTTCTGCATTGCTAGCTTCTGCTTGGGTGTTCTTGTTGTCAACAGGTACTACTCTCTCTCTCTCATCATTATCTTCTGCTTGAGTGTTCATCTTGCTAGCTTCTTACAAGACTTTTCATTTGCTTTATTTTTCAAATGATTTATATTTAAGGTGTAGTGAACCATCCTTTGATTTCTGATTCGAGGTTTTTGATTTGGAATGTTAATGGTTTGAAGATCGGGTTTATGCTATTATGTGTTGGATGAATCGCTTTACTGAATTTCTTTTGGTTTTTTTTTTTTTAAGTTATTGAGATGTTTGTATTACATCTTCTTCTTTTTCTTTTTTTTTTTTTCCTTCTTTTCTTAATTTTTTTTGGGGGTTCATACAAATGGGTGTCGATTCAATTTCATAAGTGCTTGGTTTTATATGATTCTGGGACCGTTGGTCACATTCTTGTTATTAAAGTTGCCACATAATTCCGAAAAACTAAGCAATATATCTCGTTAATGTTAGGAGCTGGTTGAATGATTCAAAAATCCATGGATTGCTTATTGTGGGTGATGGAGTAAGCCCATATTGTGCATTTTTATTCAAAAATTATTAGTGCAGGATGCTCTCCTTTGGGTATTACTTGAGCTTAGTTCCATTTATGTTCTGCATTGGCTTCATCTTATATCTTAGAACAAAGTTAAGGAGAATTCTTATCTCTTGCTAGTGGGATGCCAAAGTTAAGGAGGTTTCTCGTCTCTTGCCAGCGGGAGGCCAATTGATGGATAATAGTCGGGAATTTTTTTTGGAGATTTTTAGTGCAATCTATGATAGGGTTACCTTTCAAAAAAATTTATAATAGGTTTTCCTCAAGAGGGACAAGCCCAGCTAGCATTGCCAACATTGTGCACTGAGGCTCACTATAATAGGTTAGGCGCGTGCCATCTGACCCAAAAGCTCGAATTCTTAGAGACCATCCTGCCTACCTGTCCGCCATACGGGGTGTGGGACCCGCTAGCCAGGGGACACAGTAGACAGCTTTGTGTGGATGCTTGGCTTGCTCTGGTACCACTTGTACTTAATGGGTTTGACGCTTGCCATCCAACCCAAAAGCTTAAGATGTTAAGTGGTGCTACCCACCAGTCCTTGTAAGCCCAAGACCCATCCCATCCTAATCCGAGTTTTTAGTTGACATATTATCCAATAATTAGAATAAATTGTTCTTTTCAATATGAGACGGAATGCACTGATTTTATTTATATTCTGAATGTTCGTTTTAAACCTAAGTGAGGCTCAAAATCGATGGGCTTAGTTTTTAGTATGCTGATCAACTTCAATGACTCTATGTTTTCTTATGGAACAATACCATCTCATATATGAAAACAAATTGTGTCTCATGCTATCCTAGAATACTATTGGCAAATCAATTTAGTTAGAAAAGCATCATATTTCATTTTGATAAAGCAATAACTTTCCATAACGATGTCTATGTTCTCACATTGGATATATCACAATACTCATCTATTCTGGTTGAGTTTCTTTTTGTTGTATATGGATGTGCTTCATTGAGCTGTTTGTTCCTTGTTCACAGGTTTTGGGTTATTCCGGATCCAGACAAAATCAATGAGGAGGCTTCATCTGCGGAGAAACTCCAATCAAGAGACCTTCAGCCTGTTGTTAAGTGCGAGAAGAAGGCAAGTCACAATAATGATATTGTCATCCGCCAATTACCTGTACAACATGTCTAGTAATTTTTCTATTTCATTGCAGGAGTCTTCTGTCGAGGCGGGGGATATCTTTTTTCATGTTTCACAAACACATGATATAATCATGTAACTTTCTGTAAACAGATCAATAATGTTACAGTTTTGAAGTTTTGTATAGGATGGTTCTCATGCTGTTCTCTTGGCACAAACTTTCAGGACCTTAGACAAAACAATCTCCACTTTGGAGATGCAGCTTGCCGCGACTAGAGCTGCCAAAAATGGTGAGGAGGAAGGATCTCCAGTGGTTACAAAACCAGAAAATGTGCATTCGATAGAGCGCCAGAAGGTTTTCTTTGTTATGGGAATCATTACTGCATTCAGCAGCAGAAAGCGCAGGGACTCAATTAGAGAAACTTGGATGCCTCAAGGTTTAATTTTCATTATCTGTTCTCTCGGTTATACAAACAAACAGTAGTCCTTAATATTATTATTTTACTTATACTTTTTGTTATCATTCATTTTAGGAGAGGATTTAATGAAGCTAGAGAAAGAGAAGGGAATTATAATAAGGTTTGTCATAGGTCACAGGTCAGTTAATCTACTATCGCTAGTAATATGCATTTAACTAATTAATCTGCATCTGGGTGTTGGTCTTGTCGAAGTATAACAGACCAGATTATGTGCTTTACAGTGCAACTCCTGGTGGTATTTTGGATCGTTCAATTGAAGCTGAAGATGAACAACACAAGGATTTTCTGCGACTGGTGTGTTGTGTTTTCAACTGCCTACCATATAGTTTACCAGTTTCATTTGTCCTTTGTTTATTTGTTGGAGAATCATATAAGGACATGATGCAATATACATTTTATTACCACTGAAGGCCATTAAACTCATCAGACAATATAATCTTATTCTTACAACTCTTTAACTTTTTCTGGCATTGCATTTTCCAAAACGATCATTGAATTAATTGTTAAATCCTTGCCCATCATGCTTGCAAAATTTCAAATTAATTGGGAACTGACATTCTATCCATATAGTCATTTTTAGAAAAAAAATAATAAATACAGTTATAATTTTGAGCACTATATGAAGATTTGGTGAGCATAATGATCATAGGATGAGCATTTAATCCAGCGGAGGATTTTGAGAAATTCAATTCTCACAAAGGGTTCCTTGGATGTGTAAAAAGAAAAAGTTTACAACAGGCATAAAAAGATCACTCTCATATGTGTATACGTGTAATTATGTATATTTTTATACCCTAAAGTTCCAAGTTTGGCCTATGACATTGTTATAGCTTGTTTACTCTGCACTTGAAATCAAGGAAAAGATGCACGTTGAACTTTTTTTGCTTGTTCTGGAAAACATCAACCCTCAAAACAATCATAACTTGATTGGTTATGATAGCTGGTTTTCTTATAAATTCATTGTTATGTGTTTTCCCCACTACATATGGAGGTTAAATGATTGCATAATGTTTTTCAGTATCAAGTGTGCTAGTCAATGTTTCAAGCTTTATACATGGTCCAATTAGTTGGGAGAACAAACTATTTTCCAAAAACATCTGGCAGGCTTTTCTTAGTGGCCAGGACTCCTTTATTCTCCTTCATTTCAAATATTATGTGAAAACCTTATGCAGTATTAATTTTGGCTGTCTTGCAGAATCATATTGAAGGATATCATGAATTGTCATCAAAAACCCAAATATACTTCACAACAGCCGCTGCAAAGTGGGATGCTGACTTCTATATTAAAGTTGATGATGATGTGCACGTTAATCTTGGTTTGTAATTTCTATTCTAATTAACATCTTCACTGTAAATCTTCAACAAGCTCAAAGTCTTGATGGTTGTATGCAATTAATGGAGAATTTAGCTGGTTTAATCATCTGACAGGTATGGTTGGTTCTACTTTGGCCCGCCATCGATCAAAACCTCGTGTTTATATTGGCTGTATGAAATCTGGTCCTGTTCTGGCACAAAAGTAAGGGAGTGCAATCTTTTGAAATACTTCTGATCATTGATTATGCATTTTAAGTCACTATATACCTATCTGCAGAGAAGCCAAGTATCATGAACCGGAATACTGGAAATTTGGCGAGGAGGGGAATAAATATTTTAGGCATGCAACGGGACAAATATATGCACTCTCTAAAGATTTGGCCACCTATATTTCAGTTAATCGGTAAGCTTTCTAATGTTTGGTTTTTGAATGTGGTGTTAAAACTCAGCTCAACATAACTGTTGGGGTTGGCTGCCTTTCTCCTTCTTTGCCATTCTGATGCAATTAAAGCCATAACTTCCCTTTATTAATGCTTTCTTTCTCTAGACACATACTTCACAGGTATGCAAATGAAGATGTCTCACTGGGTTCTTGGTTTATTGGTCTTGATGTTGAGCACATTGATGATCGCAGTCTCTGCTGTGGGACCCCCCCTGGTAAGATACTTAAAATGCGATATGATTAAAGTCATATTTTTTGCACAAAATGTTGGCTTTATTTATTTATTTTTCTCTTGTAAAATTTTACTAGTTGAGGAAATGAGCTTTATGTGCAAAACAACAGGGCATAACCTTTATTAAAATGTACAATTGAAGCACAGAAATCACACAATGCATTGGTGAAAAAAAGAAAAAGAAAAAATGTTAATTATTACTTGTTAGAAACTTAAAAGGTAATTTAGGAGAAATTACTCCCATACTATATCACATTTTCATTGATTATAGATGACTTTGGAAGCCTACTTGTACTTGATGATACATTTCACAATGTTATTTTAGAACCTTTCCCCTCCAAATAAAGAAAAGAAAAATAATTTATTGACTCATGGATATGTAATCAATTAATATTGTTTCAGAAGCATTAATAATGAAAACTTGCATCAGATGTTCCAAAAACATCTGCATAAACAAATTAACACCACACTACCAAGCCTGACCCATCCTGAGCTCTGGTTGAATTTCTAAAACTATAAGCAGGAGGAGCCTATTCCACTAATGAGGTTGGGATTAGAATTTGCCCCAACCAAGTAACCTGCACAAATTGTGGCTCTGTTAGGAACTTTCACGCAGTCAATCCATTGTTGCTGCTATGTTGTACTTTCTTCCAGATGTAACAATGAAAGACGAAATGGGACCAGAGGCTGTGCAGTGAAAGAGTTTTAGTCCCTTTCTGCACGATTGTTTCCTTTTCCCATAGAAATAAAGGTTAACCTTAGAATGTTTGATCCCACAAACAAAAATGCTATGTTTGTCATGCAAAAGCTCTTGACTAGGCTTTTAGGCAACATGGTCCTGAATTGTCTTAATCTTTGTTGATAGATTGCGAGTGGAAGACCCAAGCAGGGAATCCTTGTGCTGCATCATTCGATTGGAGCTGCAGTGGCGTATGCAAATCTGTGGAGAGAATGGAAGAGGTTCATCAGCGCTGTGGGGAGGGTGATGGAGCCATCTGGCACACCAGTTTCTGACACACATTTCTATCAATTTGTTGTAATATATATGTGCATGTGATAGAATGAACAGTTCAGGCAACACCATCTCCCCCATTTTTGCTGATTAATTTTTTGGGGGACGGTGTATCACTAAATTATATACTGCATATAGAAGAAGCTCTCCATTGAGGAAAAGTTAATGAAATTCTTTAGTTTCATAGATTCACACAAAAGCTCAAGTTATATTTGTCGTTGCTTTACAATTTCCTTTATTTTGACATCACCCAATATTAGAGAAAAAGAAAAATAAAACCCTTTAAATGTCAACAAACCACTGGTACAATGCTCATTTTGTCGATCTCAAAAGTTTTGGCCTGCTTAGTTTTGAGGAATACAAGTCTCACTATGAAGCTGATACCATCGCTATACAGCTTAAATGTATAACTTTTTGGATTGATAAAGTATTGATTCATAGTAAGCTATTGGTTTTAGTTTTAGTTTCTAAAAACCGTAATGATACTCATCTCATTCAACGGCTGACGGTCTTAAGTTGAGTGTTGTTGGCATTATTCAATACACAAAAAACATGTTCTACACATGGGCATTATTTCAATACACAAAAAACATGTTCCACGCACGGGAGTACTGAAGAAAGGTTGGCCGGTGGGATGGACCAATAAGCATCACATCAAAAGAATTGATGAAATCTTTGGCAATCATGTAAAGCATATATCTTATGTGAAAACTGATTTGGAGGAAAACGATGGCCAAGTGAACTTAGGCCTGAACTTTGTATTGGACTAATTGTTGCTACTTATTTTTGGTCAGATAGTGGGATCCCATGCCAGTGTCATTTAGGTAGCTTTGAGTTTGAGAGGTGCATACGTTTATGGTTCTAAATGATTTTCAAAATGTGACAGAAAACTTAGACTCCAAAGTCAAATTATTGTTCCATTTCTCAACTTTAAAGATCATTACAAAGCCAGTACCACCACAAAGGGGAAAAAATATATATATATGAAGAAAACATGGAAGCTATAGTTTATAATTTCATGTGGTCGGTTTTGCAAAAGCAATACACTGCGTTCACACAAGAAAATGAGTTCCCTTGCATTGTTTTCTGAAAAGTGTTAATCATCACGGCTGAACCAATGAATGAATATTGGTAGTCAACAAAAGAACGTAATAGTGAACATCCCAAGTGGTCCACAAGGCTATTTATATTCTTCTACTCCTGTCTATTTAACTGGAGCTACTTAGATTAGATCATAACGTGTTTTAAATGTCAATTGAATTCCCCCCCTTCTTATGCCAATCGATTTAGAACCCTAATAAAAAGTAATCTAAAAGAATTATTGTAAGTGGAGCGTGGAATTCAATTCCGTTTCTTATGCCAATCGACTAAGAGCAGTCCAATTATCGGACAAATTCGAAAGAATTATTGTAAGTGGAGGGTGAATTCTACTGGTTTTTTATTATGGAATAATAAATTATTTTCTCTGGCTAATCATTTTAAGTCTGAAAGAATTATTGGTTTGTTTTCCGTTATCCTAGGGAGCCCGATTTTAAGTCTTCACACTCACTAACTTTTAATTTAACATTCTTGCCAGAAAAAAAATTTAAATTAAATTCCACTTATAATTTGGGTCCCCTGTAATAGAGTAGTTATTCTAATGATAGGGGGTTAAAAGAGGCGGTTTAACGTAACTTGGGATCCTAAAATCTTCGTTAGCAGCAACATGAACAGGAATGAATTGAACACACTTCTTGGCATAAAACATATTGCCACTGTCACCACCGACCATTCCTATACTCGTACTTGCCGGAAGTGAGTTAGGCAGGCCGGGGATAAATTACATTGGACATAGGGACCATTGGCCTCGCATGCACCAAAGTTTGGATGGAAAAACGTTCTGTCACCACAAAACCAAACATAATACGTTATTTTATATATATATATATATATATATATATATATATATATATTAATATTAGTTTTTCAATTCATCTACCAATATATAAGTTTTATTTATTTATTTTTTGACCTTACAATAGTTAGAGAGTTAATAGTTACTAGTTAGTAAGAGAGAGAGAAAGGGGACTGAAACCTATGAGCATAGGATATGAATACTTAAAATCTGATCTTTTTGTCACTCTGACAATACCGTCACGTTTTATAAGTTTTAATTAACAAGTGAAAAAAATAAAAATCAAATCTCAATAACATATTTTTTCTTAAAAAAGATTGCTAAATTTTAAGACAGTTATGTGGAGAAGATGTAACACAAATGATTTTGAATCTGTAACATAATGGTACTTGAATGAATCAATAATTCTGAATTATTTCTGGTAAGACTATATTTGGAGACAATTCTAGGAGATCTAGTCAAAAACAGAGGAAACTTTCCTATTCTTTTGAACAGTATTCGTTTTAATTGAAAATCTAAAAGTTTAGAGAAATTAAAGAGTGGTGTAAAGTTGTTAGGTGTAGTATTCCTAGTCGTCTTCTTTTACTTGGTCCATCCTAATGCATTTGTTTATTGAGTTTCCAACTACAATTTTGAGGTCAATCAACAATTTTTAGTCCACCTTTGAATGATGAACCCTAGAAATTGTTCAATGGTCCAGACACAGTTCTGCTTTATACAAGCCCAACATGTATGTAAATTTGGTGTTGACTGGTTTATTGTTGGTGGCACTTTTTATTTATTTATTATTTAAAAGTTAGTGGTAAATACTTTTCTTATTGGTGGATGTGACTTTAGAACACATTTGTTTTGCAATTGTAAGCAATTCTTCTAAACTACTATTAATTAGGAATTTGAAGTTGTTAAATGGGATTTGAGTTTCTGATTTTTAAAACTCTTTATTTAAGTGAAAAATATATGAATTCTAAAATTGTTTTGAAGGGAGAATATTAAAACAATAAATGATGATATAAACCAATTAAGGCTGCCTTAGTTGGTTGAGCTCTCCAAATTAATTAAACAAAAATAAACCAATTAAGGCTGCCTTAGTTGGTTGAGCTCTCCAAATTAAATTAAACATACTTATCAAGAATCATGTTCATAAATGTTATCTAAACAACTGTTTTTTAAATTCATGATTTTAAATCCATTCTTTTCAAAATTCTCTATCTAGATTCATTTAAACAGAGATTGAGTGAAGAAAATTGAAAAACATTAGGGATGAAATTAACCCAAAGAAATCTAATGTTATTATCAAAAAATTTCACTGAGTTAGTTATCTTTTCTTAGGCTTAAAAATTTTAACATATTAGTTCAAGACTCTTTAGGTACAAAATATGTGATTATTATTTGTTGAACGGTTTAGATCTTGTGTTTGGTCTACGGATTAATTGAAGTGTCAGCATAAATTTTAAAATATAATATTTTTCAGAATTCACAATTCTTCAAAAGTTACTCCTATACATGAATTTTGAATGATAATTCTCTCATTTATTTTATTTAAAATATATAAAAGGATATTGGAGGGTTCTTTTTTTTTAACTAAATGAGAACAGGATCTCTTAATTACTACAATAGTAAAAATGATAAAGAATTATATTGGTATTCTTAAAACGTGAGAGTTTTTGTTGCCCATCACACGGCCTCATTGAGTCCATATCAATTTTCACATGCGTCACATGCTTGTTCAAAATCACAACCGAAGAGGCAATAAAAAATCATGGAAAATCAGTCAAAAACTGAAAATCCAATTAAGCGAACGTGAAAAACGAGAACGCGTCAACTACAGAGCTGAGTATTTTTTTTAAATATAGTGGACTATATATATGAAGATATATATATGAGTAGTAGTATTTTCTCTTGGTATTGCTAAGACCACACAGCTTGATAAATGTAAGGCAAAGTTTGGGAAAGAAGACGACCGTGAAGCGAATCGAAAACGGGCCTACGGCAATCCGAACAACACGTCTCTCTACCGCTTATCTCTCACATCTTATCCCTTTTTTTCTCTGGTATCTGATTTCACTTTGTCTTCTTCTTCACCTCCTTGTTGTACAACCATACCATTCTGATTTTGTTTTCTCTCTCTAAATTCCCTTGCGAGGGTTATTTATCTTATCTCGATCTTATCTGTTCATTTCCTCTTCTCCAGACCCTCCAACACTTCGATTGAATTGTGGGTTTTTCTCTTTTGTTCATAATTTGATCTGGGTTGGTTTTCCTTTTGGATACTCATTTGTATTTTAGGGGTCCTATGGTATGGTTTCCCTCCTGTAAACCATACCATTCTTCTTATTTTCTCTCTCTATCTGTAAATTCCTTCACAAATTTTGTGAAGGGTTTTATCTTATCTATCTGATATTGATGCAATTCGATTGAATAGGATTTTATTATTTTTTATTTTTCACTCTTTTTGTTCATAATTTTATTTGGGTTATCTTGTGGGTGGGCATTCATTTGTATTTTTGGGGTCGAATGGCTTTGGCTTCAGCTTTGTTTGAGATTTTACAACGACCCACAAGTGGAGATGTGTTTTTAGAGCTCATGATGTTCATGGCACCTCTGTGGATTGCTGTTTTTGTTGGGGTTTTGGTGGGATGGGCGTGGAAGCCCAAATGGGCCATTATAGATAGAAATTTATTTGATTGTTCGTCCACCGATTCTTCGACGTCATTGCCTTCCTCCTCGGAGAAGACCATTTTTCCAGGTATATCGAATTCGATTCCCAGCTTGAATTCGTTGAAGTTGCAATTGCCCAGCTGCATTTCTTGGATTGCTGATAGTGGCATTGAGAAGGAGGCTTCGACTGTTCCACATTCAAACTCAAAATCTGACTTCAGGTTGGTTGAATTTGTCAAATTATGAAAATTTTCTTGGGGTGTGTTGACAATTGTTCGTTTAATCAGCTTATTTTCTCGTTCAAATTCACTCTTCCAATGGGGACATATATTGGGTGTTGCGTGTGTTATTAAAATTTCGTTGTGATGTGTTGAGAATTGTTCATTTAATCAGCTTAGTTTGTTGGTCAAATATTCAAATTTATTCTTCCTATTGGGACATAGATTGAGTGTTGCATATGTTTCATTTAAATGGCCAGTTCATCTCAGCTCAAGAGAGATGCATCGATGGTTGTGACGGATGATGACTTGTTGCATTTATACCAACTTGTTGAGGTGAAAGATGGAGGTCCTTTATGGATTCAGATGATGGATAGGTCTACACCAACCATGGGCTATCAAGCTTGGCGGAGAGATCCTGAGGTAGGATTTTGTTTCCCAATGTGATGTACTTTTGGGTATTCAATTTTCTAGCACAAATACATTGGAAGTTGAGAGTTAACCTGAAAATTGTATTTAATGGGCTCTGTTGTATCATATGATGTGGGACTTGTGATTGCTGTAGCAAATATTTTTGTGTAATCACTTTAGTGAAACTCATGTGATTGATTGGATTATATTTTCTTTGCTAGATTGGACCTCCACAATATCGTAGCAGAACTGTCTTTGAGGATGCTACTCCTGAATTGGTGAGGGATTTCTTTTGGGATGATGTTTTTCGAGCAAAGTGGGATGACATGCTATTACATGCCGAAACTTTGGAGGACTGCTCCACTACAGGAACAATGACAGTTCAGTGGATACGCAAGGTAGTATTAACGAACTTTTCCTTGTAAAGCTCTGATGTTCTTGTAACATCAGCACATGTTTTCTAATTCCTTTTCTTTTCTGGTGGCACAGTTTCCCTTCTTTTGTAGCGACAGGGAATATGTTATAGGCCGTCGAATTTGGAAATCGGGACAATCCTTTTACTGTATCACAAAGGTAAGAGAAGGGAGAATAATATTTGCCAAATAAGTTATCATCCTTCTATATAGTTATTTTGTTTTGCTTTAAATTCTAGTGAGGAGGGTCTCATCCCATTCTTCTATTGTCCCTCCTCTCAATGGGATCTGCCATCTTCAATGTGTTGGTTTCTTCCATCAACTTTACTATATAAAACTTACTTGATTCTTCTTCTCCCACCTATATATGTACATATCATATATATATAGGTATATATAGGTAAAAGGAATGTTACCGAAGAGTGACAACAGGGGTGCACTGCTGCAACCCATGCATATCCACTATGTTGAACAAAAGAATTTGAATTTTCTACTAGGTCCAAAAATGTCTTAAGAGAAGGATTTACCCTCCATCTCATACAACCAAATCACTATACATACTGATATACAACATCATTTGGCAAATATTTTCCCTATAGTTCCTATCCACACTAAATTATGGGGTATTAAAGAATCTCCCAAGGTGGCCGAATAATCTCATAATTTTAGACTAAGCTTAACTAACAATGCTATCGACCTTGGGAACAAACATTTAGTGGGAATAATCTCTTAGTACATAATTATTGCTGAATCATAATACTAAGATTTAATTTTAGAGGGGCTGTGATATTTGACAATTATATTGACATAACAGTATCTGCACATTATGAATTCATGCCTTCCTATTAGGTTCCCAAAAACAAGATGAGACATAATTTTTTCCCTCTGGAGTACCGTCAGAAGATGGCCAAGGAGTCAAGTTAGTAGTTATATGACCTAATGCTGTATTTAGTTGCTCAAGGCACCCCAACTGTATTATATGCTGTCCTTTGACTTTATATTGTCTGCAATGATGTACTATTTTTATATGAAATCCAATCGGTGCCTGTTTCCATTCAGATTCAGGATTGTGTATTTTATTTATATATATCAAGTTTTGTTTGTGTTGGTAAATATTTCTTTCACATGGCTTCTACCAGAAACTAATATTTTGAATGCTAAATTCTACATGTTTCAGGGAGTACCCTTCCCATCTTTGCCGCGACGGAACAAACCAAGGCGTGTTGATTCATACTATTCAAGTTGGTGCATTCGTCCAGGTAATGAAGGCATCATGGTATATTTTTTATATAAGTATTCAAGGAAAGACGTGATGCCTGAGCTGTTTTGTTGCTTCCACAACTAGTGAAGCAGCTGACTGGACATTTCTATTAAGAGAACTGTGAAAGCAACTGCAACGAAAATTCTTCCAATTTGTTTAAGAATTTATTTGTTTGACGTGTCTTTTTCAGTTCATCCTGTGTTTTTTAAAATGGCAGTTCTCTTTCTGGCTCTGAGATTCAGAGAATGAGAAAAATGGTTTGCTTGTCCCAATTAGAAAGAATTTTATACCTTAAAAAGGAAATTTTTCTTGAGAGAGATTTATTCATCGGAAAAAAGGGCACTGTCTGATTCATTATTGCTTTCCAGTGTTCTTTCTGTTTTTGAAATTGAAACCAATAATGACTAAAATGTGTCTGTTGACGTAAATCAGTTGAATCGAAGAAAGGAGATGGCCAGTTGACTGCTTGTGAGGTGTTACTATTTCATCACGAAGATATGGGTATCCCTTGGGAGATTGCAAAGCTTGGAGTCCGGCAGGGTATGTGGGGAGCTGTCAAGAAGATTGAACCTGGCTTACGTGCATACCAGAGGGAGAGAGCATCCGAAGCTCCACTCTCACATAGTGCTATCATGGCTCAGATTAACACCAAAGTCAGTGCAGATTACCTAAGATCCTTGGAGAACAGAGGTGATCATTCAGAGATTGAAAACTCAGATTCATTTGAGAAGCCAGTAGGGAGGAACATACCCAAGTTTTTAGTTGTTGGTGGGGTTATTGCCCTTGCTTGTAGTTTTGACCGTGGGCTCTTGACAAAGGCAGTTATTTTTGGAGTGGCCCGAAGGTTTGCCAAGATTGGAAGGAGGCTGTGAATCAGGATGCCTTTGTACAGTCTGAAAATATAACTCAGGGAGTCGTGGCGAGTGAGGAACTTCCTGAGGGTCAATCTCTTCACTCTTCGCCACCTCTTAAGAATGAGAAACCATTGTATTCTTTTTTCTTTTGTTTGAGCAGTAGAGCTACAGGTCGAGAAAAGAGAACATATTGTTGTATTTGTTGAAATTGGAAATCTGACTGAAGTATCTCATGTTGCTGAAATAACAAGCAGATTCAGGTTATTTTTTTGGCTACTTTTGTCCTTGAATTTGTCATCTTTGTTTTGTATAAATCTAGCAGCCTATTTATGAAGGTAACCCTTTTTTTGGCACGCTATATACCTCTTGGGTAGTGCCTCCTTTTGAACAAAATACTTTTCATCATAGGAAGTCTATGGACCCTACCATATATATATATATATATATATATATATATTCTGAGTTGAGATTTGAGCTCCTTCGGTTGGTTCAGGATGATGTGTATTTCTTGGAAAAGATAAATTGTTGTTCCTTCAATTTCAGAGTTAAATGGCTTGTTATAATTAAGTGCCTAAACTTCGTTAGCTCGCCAGTCATACTCATCTGGTTATTTCCGCGCGCACAAGAATTGCCAAAAAGATCAAACCCCCCCTGTTCAAGCCCTCGATGTAGGAGCCATATGCAGCAGCTGCCCACACTGGCTATAATGTAAAACATTGGGAGCTTCCTAAATATAATATGATCAAAATGTTAGAAATAAGTGGACTAGGTACACACAGCTCTACAAGCTGAGGGCGGAACACTTGAAACTATGTTATTTTACTTATAATATTCCATTTTATTCCTTCAATCCAAATAGGAAGAGTACCGGAATTTATATAGGGGCATCAAAACACATGTATAACCATTACATATAAAATGCCTCCTTACTCCTACTAACACAACCTAAAAGGACTCTCAACTCTATCTTGCTCCATTTTATGTAGGAGTAACTTTTACCATCACACCTACTTATGCCAAGACAATTTACTACTAACATGCTAAAAGCACACATGCACCACTTATGCGAAAAACTAAATATTGAGTGCAAGTAATATATGAATTTTTTTCATCACAGAGAAAAAGGCCTTTGAATCCAAGGTTGAAGAAGCCTTTGAGTGGCTCTTGTTGATCAGTAAGTGACGAGTGTCTCGAAGCAGTACAGTCCGTCCAACTCCGGTGCGATCCGGGTGGCCTTTTGCTGCTTTGGCTTCACACTACTACTACCATGCGCGGGTGGTGATGATTTCCCTCCCTCTTTCTTGTCTTCCATGTTTCGCTTCTTACTTTGCTCGGACTCTCTGTGGCTTTTGGCCTTTGTTGTAGGAGAAGCGGATGACGTGACGGTCAGGCCAAGAAACTCCGCAGAAAGAGCATCAAATGAACTGAAAATGGAATTCATGATCCTAATTCAGAGAGAGGTTTTATAGGACAGAGATCTGTGTGTGTGTGTGGATCTCCAGAAAGATAAGTGTTGTGTAAGAGGTTTGATGAACAAAAAAAAATCCATACAAGCAAGCTATATATAGAGATCAGGGGAGGGGAAGTTTTGAAAGATGTTCTTGGGACGTGTTTGGCTTTGCTTGTCAAATAGTGTCTTATTATTATTATTTTTTTTTGGCCTAAAAGCTATTTTGGATATTGTTTGACTAATTTTTTTCAAAGAAGTATGAGTCTTGGGAGACCCACTTATAATAATAATAAAAAAAAAAATAGGAAAAGAATGTGATGTCATGAGTTTGTTTGGTTTGTAATTCTGATAATAGTTTTCTAGTTTTAAAAAATTGAAAACAAAAAATTGTACAAAAAACGCAACTTGGTTCAGTTTTTTTTAAAATTGTTTTTTGAAAAATCAATTATAAAAAAATATGTTTTCATATAACTATCTTTTATAATTCTCTAAAAATCGTTTCTTATTTTTAAAATTTTTGAGAACTATTTTTATAATTACAAATTAACAAACCGTATATGTGGGGGCAAAAATCTCCCCTTCCAATTAAGACAAGACACATCAGCACATAAGGGGACCATCACAAATACTAAGACTATTCAACTTTCATATTGGGTTGCTACAAGAAGCTTAGGCCAGGTCAACTAATCATAATGGGCTGAACCCATTAAGAAGGCCCGAGATGATGAAACCCGGAGTCCAGGTACGAATATATTACTAAACCCATTTTAGTAATAGTTCTATTAGAAAAAGAATTATAATTTGTGGAAACCAAATAATGTAAATCCTTATTATAAGGAAAGTATGATGTAATTTAGATTCTTAAAGGACAAGTAATGCGAGTCCTAAAAAGAATCCATTAAGGTTTTTTTTTTATATAAAAAGGACTCAGGACCCTCAATAGATCAAATAGAGATCCAATTCTCATCACCAGAATTACGTTCCGACCTGATTCCCATGCCCCATGAGGCGGGATACGTAGGCAATCTAGGTAATCCTAGGTTCGTTCATATCATCAAAATACCCCCTCATCTCTATCCAATATCTCTAGTTCGTTATTTTTTCTCTATTATTATTTTGGGTGTAGTAATTGTAGAAAATTCGTTGACTTGTCAAAGTTGAACGAATTTTTGCACCTACACTTTGGCGTCGTCTATGGGAATCGTATAGAAATATATCTCCACCAAAGTTACAACACTTCAAATTAAAATCTCCAAGTCTAGCAACGTGACTTGAAATTAAAATTTCCAAGTCAGCAATGTGACGAAGTCAAAGGAGAGTATGGATTTGAATCCAACCCTTTCTAGACGTCCGAAGCCCGTGTTTCTTTGCACAACTCTCTGCACAACAAGCGTAGGCGTCCAAAGGGATTTTCAGACAACCCAAAGCGCCGTGTTCCTCACACGGCCGAAGGATTCGTGGTCGACCGAAGGATGTAGATCCGGCCAACGCGTTTCAACCACAACCCAACACCCACGTGGTGATGGGTCTCTAATCAGATAAGTTTCTCATGCCAAGTCCCAACTTGATTTTTACAGTTGAATCTTTATTAAAAATTAAACACATATTATATATATATATATTTACACATGATGCAATCAGACTTCATTATATAGTACATTGCTAATACAAAGTTTTATTGGCGAGTAAATGAGATTTAATTTGGCATGAGCCCTTGCCAATTCTCAACTTTCTTGATCATCATTCTTTTCTATAAATGAAAGAGATGTTGGTATAAAATTAAAGCAGATGTTGATTTTATTCTAGGAAAGAATTCTAATGAAGCTAGCAAGAAAACTCTATGCGTTTGTGGGTGCTAATATTTTTATTTTTTATTCTTAATTAAACAGCGAAAAAAATGGTTAGTCTCTGTTCTTAAATTCAGTTGTTCTTATCTATATATTGTGTGTGAGAGAGAGAAGATGCATAATCAAATGATTTGAGTTGCAATTAGAATTTATTATTTATAGTGCTCTAATCTTTGCTAGACATGTAAGAATTCCAATAAAGAGATGTCAATGACATCTGAAGTGAAATCCTCCCAAATTACAACCCTCCTACTGGGAACAAAAAAAAAATTCGAGACAGTAACAGATCTACATCTTGCTATTCCTTATAGTTGTTTAGTATAAAAATGAATCCAACTACACATCCCAAACAAATATGGTCAACAAATACATTCATATGGTAAATCACACATCATTTCAACTGTTTCCCTTTGATCTTATGGTAATTCGACAAGGCAAGATTCATTAGTGCTAGAGAAATCATGAGAAGATCTGTAACCATTTCTTGAACATAGACCGATATAAAAGATTTAATCAGATGGAATATCTTTGTCACATAAGATACCACATAAGATCATACACAATTCTTGCTATTAAACAAAACTAAACATAGTCTCCACTGACTTATAATCTGATTATGTCAATACAGTGACTTATTCAACCTTTTATTTAAATTTGTAGCTCTTTTCTTACTCTTTCTAAAAGTAGCTCAATTGTTCAATGATGCTGAAATATTCATACTTCATACCACAAAAGCTAATAAAATTAGAAGTTCAGACTAGAAACTGAACCACATAGCTCAAACAAAAAATGTCAGCAAGATGTTGTTTGATGACTGATCTAATCATTGTAAGGGAAAATGTTGCTGGTCTTTTGCATGAATTTTGGATAGTAGGTCACTGTCTCCTACTCGAACTCTAGAGGGATATTATCCTTAATGCTTGCTCCCTCATTTTCTTACTATTTGGGAGTTAAGTGGGCTAGTTAGGTGTACCTAATTTTCTTGTTCATATAAATATGCATATCCTGTTGTACTAATCATGTTGTTTAGTTTAATCAGCTCACAAATATTCTTAAGCTATTGATATGTATACTCAAGCAGTTGAACTGAATAAGCAAAATGCAATACACTGGGCAAATTGCGCATTTGTTCACAAATCAGTTATGAAAACTCATCCCAGTCGGCGACGAACAGCCGGCGTCTCTGATCCTATCACTTCTCAGTCGCCGAATTTCGCCAACACGCCTTTTTCATACGATAGTGTCCATAAATTTCTGTTGGCAAAGAAGCACCCAGCAATGGCCGTTCGAGTCTTCAACGACACAGAAGCAAAGCCCCCTGAAGTCGAGAATGATGGTGATGGTGGTGGCGGTGGTGATGGTTTCGATTCTAATGATGAAAGAGATTTGTACCATGCGTTTCACTTTCTTTCTATAGACACACCAACGGCTGAGGAGTTACAGTACTCATCGTCCAACATAAACTCATAAACTAATCAGAAAAAGTCCGATGACCAACGGATGACGCCTCCCCCTTCAGCCAATATGCAACAGGCCACTGGCTTATCTGCTCCAATCGCATCTCAGTCGCCGATTTCACACAACAGTTTTCCACCATTAGCCGATTTTGTACAGGCATTTGCACTGGCAAAGCTGAGAGCACAGACCGAGAAAGCTGCTAGTTTCTACAACAACTAGTGGGCAAAGCAGAAACAAGCCATCATGCTTGCTTATTAAAATTACTTAGCAAAGAAGCGTGGTGTTGGTGGTTTGGATTCGGGTCCAACTAATCTAGCACATACAAATACAAAGGGAAGTACAAAATATGAACTAAATCACTTTCCAACAATCACAGCACCAACTGGGGCAATACATTCTCTCCAAAAAGATGGTGTTGAAGAAGTGCAAACAAAGTCTAACACCAAATCGTAAAGTCACAAATTAGGGATCGCCGAAGGAGTAGTCCGCAGCAACTATCCAAAGGAGTAGTCCCATACAAT